GATCCGGGCCGTCAGCAAGAGAGGACGCAGGAGGAGACGGCAGGGGAACTCGTTGTTGAACAGAGGAAGGACGAAGTGGCATAATGTGAGTGTCGGGGACAGGAGGAGGACGCGGACGAGGAACACGACAACCAGTGCGAACAGTGCGAACAGGCGAGGCAGGACGAGACTCAGGCTCACGACGCTCTGTAAGAGAGTCTGTCTGCTCAACATAAGGAGAAGGAGCAGGCAGTGGGGAGTCTGGCTGTAACTGTGGCTGCGATTGGTGAGGCGGTGGGCACAGCAAGCTAGGAGTAAGGCAAGTAGAAGACGGGAGACTAAGAACCTGGCGAAGGACCGAGTCACGTGGCGGCAGAGACGACGGTGGCGGCGGAACGAAAAACGGTCGCCACTGCATAGTGCCTCCAGCACCAGTACCGCCAGCTCCAGCACCCCCAGCGCCAACACCTCCAGCTCCAGGGTTTCCGGTTCTAACACCTCCAGCACCAGGGTCTCCAGCTCCAGTGCCTCCAGCTCCAGCGCCTCCAGCGCTAGCGCCTCCAGCTCCAGGGCCTCCAGCTCCAGCGCCTCCATCTCCAGGGTTTCGAGCTCCATCTCCTCTAGCTCCAGCGCCTCCAGCTCCAGTGTCTCCAGCTCCAGTGCCTCCAACACCACCAGCTCCGGCAGCTACAGTACCTCTAGTACGATCACCTCCTGGACCTCCAGGTCAAGTAGTAACTCCAGCACCTCAAGGACTAGTAGCTCCAGCACCTCCAGTTGCATAGCCTCCAGCGGCACGGCCTCCAGCTCTAGGGTCTCCAGCTCCAGCTCCTCCAGCTCCAGCACCTCCAGCGCCAGTGCCTCCAACATCACCAGCTCCGGCAGCTCCAGTACCTCTAGTACGAGCACCTCCAGGACCAGCAGCTCCAGCACCTCCAGGACTAGTAGCTCCAGCACCTCCAGCTCCAGTGCCTCCAGCGGCAGGCCTCCAACTCCTTCAGCACCACTCCCAAGGCGTGTGCGCTGAGCAAACCACTTGCGCAGCTACTGCGGTGAGAAAGGCTCCCGCTGATGAGACGGTCGTAGCGAGGCACCCGCAGGACCTCCGGCAGACTCCGCACGCAGTACCCCTAGGCTCAGCAACCCCAGACTCTGCACCCTCAGACTCAGCACCCTAAGGCTACGCACCCTCAGGCTCAGAACCCCCAGGCTCCGCACTCTCAAGCTCAGTACCCCCAGGCTCCGCACTCGCAAGCTCAGCACCCCTTGGCTCCGCACTCGCAGGCTCAGCAACCCAAGACACAGCACCCCTAGCAACACCTAAGTCTACAGTGTCCTCGACATGCTCAGTCAAGGGGACTGGGTCTTCCTGAGACACACCTGAGGGAGCAGGACTTTGAGGGGGTAGGGGGTCTACCGGAGGGGGGCCTGGAGCGAGGAAGAGCGGCGGGGGGGAGAGAGGGGCAGTGCAGTAGGGGAAGAGACGGTAAAAGGCAACCGACTCTTGAAACGTGACGTCCTGAGAGGGCACGATACAGCGCGAGGTGGGGTGGTAAAACTGCCAGCCAGGCGCGTCAGGGGGAAAGCCAAGGAAGACGCAGGGAATGGTACGGGAGGAGAGCTTGTACGCGGAAGTATCGCGGACTAAGGCACGAGAGCCCCAGACCCGGAACATCGACGCATCGCCAACCTTCCCCGTCCAACGCAGTGTAGGCGAGGTCTCCGGCAAGGAGACACGGGGCCAGAGGTTGAGCTGATACTCATCGTACCGGATTGCAAACGACCACAGAAAATGGGGAGCAGCCGCATGGATCATGGAGGTACGAGCCACCTCCATGACTAAGCCAATGCGACGCTCAGCAACCCCATTTCGCTGTGGGGAGGCCGGAAGCGTGAACGACTGGAGGATGCCCTCCCCACGACAAAATTCCCGCAAGAGGTCAGAGGAGAACGCACCACCTCTGTCAGAGTGCAGACGCAGGACAGGAAGGTCCTCACGGAACCGCTCACGGAGCTGGAGACGGATTGCGCGGATCCAAGGGATCAAGACATCAGGGACCTCACCCTTGGTGCGCAAGGGGAAGACCGTGGTGTAACGCGTGTAGTCGTCAACAACCAGCTGGAACTAGTACTCGTGGCCCTGTCCACTGACGCGGGCTGGGTCCCACACGTCCATGTGGAGAGTCTGCAGCGGAGCAGTCGTCGGGGGAAACGAGGAGGAGTGAGGAGCGGCGCGCTGCCGCCCCTCGACGCAAGGAAGGCAGGGCGGGGCAGGCGAGGGCGGGAGGGGAGGCAGAGACCTGGGAAGACCAGAAACAAGGAGGCGTGAGTGCATGCCACAAAGGCGTGGCAGGGAGGGGTGACCAAGGCGGTGGTGCCAAAGGAGTGTCTGGTGCGACAGGAGTTGACTTCTTCCAGACCTTCTCCCCTACCCCGAAGATGACCACTCTTCGGGTTCTGCCGCACGTTGCCGCTCAGCGTGACTACGAGCTGCACTATCTTGACTTCAGCATAGCTTTCTTACAAGGCAGTGTGCACGAGATCTGGCTGTGCCGCCCACCTGGCTTCACTGGATCGTTTCCTACAGGTACCCAGTGGAGCCTCCGGCGGCTAGTCTACGGTCTCCGCCAGGCGCCTCGCGAGTGGCACGACACACTGAGGACGACGCTTGCGGCTCTTGGGTTTGCTCCTTCGACTACTGACCCGTCGCTGTTTCTGCGCACCGACACTTCGCTGCCGCCGTTCTACGTCCTCGTGTACGTCGACGACTTGGTCTTTGCCATTGCTGACACTGAGGCACTGGCCCTTGTGAAGTTGGGGCTGCAAAAGAGACACACCAGCACTGACCTGGGTGAGCTGCGCCGCTATCTTGGCTTGCAGATCACCTGGGACAGAGCTCGGCGCACCATCACCCTAACTCAGTCACACATGGTGCACCAGGTCCTTCAGCGCTTCAGCTTCCGGTACTCCTCGCCACGGTCCACTCCTCTACCTACCGGTCACTCGCTCTCTGCTCCACCTTCGGACGAGTCCGTAGAGCCGAGTGGCCAGTATCCAGACCTTGTGGGCTACCAAATGTACCTGATGACCTGCATTCGACCTGACCTTGCCTACCCTCTTAGCATCCTGGCACGCTACGTTGCGCCCGGGAGACACCGACCAGAGCACTTGGAGGCCGCTAAGAGGGTGTTGCGCTACTTGTGCAGTACATCGGGCATGGGGCTCGTGCTTGGAGGACGGGGCCCAGTTGTCCTCACTGGACACGGAGACGCTTCTTGGGTTGACGACTTGGCTACGCAGCGGTCGTCACAGGGTTACACCTTCAGCCTTGGCTCCGGCTCTGTTTCTTGGCGGTCTACCCGCTCGTCTTCTGTTCTCAGTTCCAGTTGTGAGGCTGAGATCTACGCAGGGGCCATGGCTGCACAGGAGTTACGCTGGCTCACCTACCTGCTGACCGACTTGGGAGAGCAGCATCGTTCTTCTCCAGTTCTGTACGTAGACAACAAGGCCATGATTGCCTTGTGTCAGGAGCACAGACTGGAGCACAGAACGAAACACATCGCTCTGCGATACTTCCTTGCTCGAGAGTTGCAGCAGCGTGGTCAGCTTCGTCTTGCTTACGTGGCCACTCGGGCCAACACTGCTGATATATTCACCAAGGCACTTCACTCTGGTTATCATCAGCGTTTCTGTACTGTTTTAGGCCTTGTGCCTACTTTGCCTCACTTGCTCACTGCGTGACTTTGCTTGTACTGTGATCTATATATATGCCTGCATGCTTACTCTTGCTAAGGTATGATCACTGTACTGTTTGTTCTGTTTTATATAACTCTGTATGTGAATTGGCCTTGAGGCCATTTGTTGTGCTCAGAATGTGTGGTGACTTCGTGATCCACCCTGAGCTTGCTTTGTTTTTCTTGACTGGTTTTGTGACCACTTGTTCTCCCCCACTTAGCCTATGGGGGTGTGTCAAAATGTTATAATGCTTACATTGTTTAGGCTGTAGTTGGGTAGCCCATAAGGGGTACAACCCAATTAGGGTTAGTACTTGTACCCATCTCATTCGTATTTCATTCATTCTCGTTCAGTATTCTGACACTAACTGTTACAAACTTATAGCCAGATATATAGTGCTTGATAGTGGTGATACAGTGTACATTTTACAATGTACACCTGGAGTACCGAGCCTATTGTATCCCTAAACCGGGTATGGCCCAACAATTTAGCGTGTCGCAACTCGCGCGAGGAGAAGTGGGAGCAGAGCACATCCAATCTACCGTCAGGATCAGGGCAGGAGTGAAGGGTTTGTAAAAAAACCTGAATATACATTGGTTCCTCTGACATGGCGCCCGGAATGGATGTAGTTAGTAGATATGAGGTAGCTACTTTGTCGAGTCGCCCTGATGTTTTGGGATGTAGAATTCACAGCTAGCTAAGAATTAGCTAGCTCCGTGCGGGAGGCGGTAGTAGGTGTTGGGCATGAATGAGTAGTAGCTGGGAAGAAATTATGACTACTTAGCTGCGACTAAGCCACTTGCGTTTCTACTTATTTACCTTAACGGCCTCATTGCGTATTATCTCCGTGCCCCACGCACCCTTCACCCAAAAGTAGTTTGACAACCAGATACCCTAATGGGCCTCGCGTGGGTGGGGTTTCCCTGGGGAGTTTGTTATTCCTCGCAGCGGAGAAACTCGTTACTGGCGTCTGTCTTTCTGCTCTTCCTCGCTCGTAGCACTGTAGCAAGAGGTATTTTGCCGTACAGAATGAGAGCGGTTCATCCGACCGTTGGCATGCAAACTCGTGAAGTATCTGAGGTCCACCAATTCGCAGATTCAGGCAGGGCAAGCATAAACAGTATGGTAGTTCCCATGATTCGTTTTCCAAGCAGTTTGTTAACTTCCCAGTATTTCCATTATTTCTGGAATCATGTCTGTATTTTTCTCTCTTCCCCTTCCCCCCCTCTCCCTTCCTCCCCCCCACCCCTTTCCTTCTTCCCTTTCCAGGCACTAGAATTGGCACCATGTCGCTTCCAGGACTGGTCGTTGCAGTCCGGAGCAGCACAGGAGCCGGAGCCAGCGGGAAAGAGACAGCAACACAGAGCACTGTATCAGATGTGACTCTATCGAGAACTGTGCTTGTATCGGATAAGATCGCAGAAGAGGGCACAGGAGAACTGCCAGCAAGAAGGAGGCGGCTGACGGGGTTTGAGACGTACGATATTCGGCGAGTGCGAGAATGGGTGGTAGCACATAACAATGCCAGAACGCTTTACTCTGGAAATGTAGTCAAGAGAAGCTCCTCCTCCTCCTCCTCCTCCTCCTCCTCCTCCTCCTCCTCCTCCTCCTCCTCTTCCTCCCCTCCTCTTCCTCCTCTCCTCTGGGACCCTGCCCTAGCTCGCTTTGCTCAAGCACACGGGGATTCAGTAGGTGCCAACGCGCAATGCCACCCGGAAGCCAACGAGGCGGCGGGGGAGGCGGGTCTGGGGGAGGTGTACCTGTGGGCCGCGGTGGAGAAGGGGGAGGCGTTATTCACGGCTGCAGAGGCGGTTGAAGCGTGGGCGGAGCAGGTGAGATGAAACGGGGGGAGAAGGGGGGGAGGGTTAGGCCTGGGGGAGGGGTACCTGTGGGCCGATCTGGAGAAGGGGGAGGCGTTATTCAGTGCTGCAGAGGCGGTTGAAGCATGGGCGGAGCAGGTGAGATAAGGGGGTGGGGGAGGGAAAGGGGGGTGGAAAGTGGGAAAGGGGAAAAGTTGGGGAAGCGATATAGGTGGGCAGGTATGGGGTAGGTGTTTTTGTGGGCCGCGGTGGACAAGGGGGAGGCGTTATTCACAGCTGCAAAGGCGGTTGAAGAGTGGGCGGAGCAGGTGAGATGAAACCAGGGGTGATAGGGGAGGTGAGGGTGGAAGGAGGGAGTGAGGGAAGGCGGGTAAAGCATTTTAGGCGGGCGGGCCTGGGGGATGTGTATCTGTGGACTGGGGTGGAAATGGGAGGCGTTTTCAGTGCTGAGGAGGCGGTTGAAGAGTGGGTGGAGCAGGTGAGATGAAACCAGGGGTGGGAAGGGGGAAGGGGTGGAGGGGGGAAAAAGGGGGAAAAGGGGGGAAAAGGGGAGAAAAGGGGGGGAAAAGGGGGAAAAGGGGGGAAAGCGATATATTGACTCACGTCGACCCCCATTTACCCCTGTTGACCCTTGTTGACCACCGCTGACCCCTGTTCACTCCATAGGGCCAGCACTACAGCAGCAGCTCAGGGGCGTGTGTGCAAGGGGAGGACCGTGGCGCATTCAGTGTTCGTCTTTGAAATGTTCACCAATGTGAATGCCGTCATTGACCCCGTTTGACCTACTTTGACTCCGCAGGGCAAGCACTACAACAGCACAAGGGCGTGTGTGCAACAGGATTCAGTGAAACAACCGCGGCGCATTCAGTGATTGTCGTTCAAATGTTCACCAATATGAACCCCGTTGACCTTTGTTGACCTTCGTTGACCCTTTTTTTACCTCCTTTTACTCTGCAGGGCAACCACTACAGCAGCAGCACAGGGGCGTGCATGCAAGGGGAGGACTGTGGCGCATTCATTCAGCTGACGTGGAGAGACACAAGGAGAGTGGGGTGCGGCGAGGTGCGTGGCTGCATGTTCCCCTTCTGCCGATCCCGCTTTCCCCCTCATACACAATGTCATTATCACTGACTGTGGCGCATTCAAGCATTTCTTCAGCTCACGTGGAGAGACACGAGGAGGGTGGGCTGTGGTGAGGTGCGTGGCTGCATGTTCCCTCTCTCCCTCTCTTTTTCCTCCTCTCACACACATTGTCACATCACTGACTGTGGCGCGTTCATTCAGCTCACATGGAGAGATACGAGGAGAGTGGGGTGTGGCGAGGTGCGTTGCTATAATCTCTCTCGCTCCCTCTTCCTCTCGTTTTCCTCCTCACACACATTGTCAAACACACTGAAACCGGCACATTTGTTCCCTGCACCACTGTTCCCCCTATGTGCCGGCTCCTTTCCCCACGTCGCTTCCCCCTTCCGGCCCACCATCCCTTCCCCCCATTCCTCCCCCATCCCCCCTCCCCCCCCCCCCCCCTCCCTCCGTTCCCCCACCAGGCGGCCGATTTCACCGGAGTGGATCAGTTTCTCCTCTGCAACTACCATCCATTTTCTGCTCTCCTCTATCACCTTTTGCTCTTCTTTACTCTCTGCTGCTTCCATCCCTCCCCATCCCTCCCACCAGGCCCTCTGTCCCTACAAGGCCAATTTCACCGGGGGTGCCTCAGTTTCTCGTCTGCAACTACGACCCTCCCCCTGCTCTGCATTGCCTCTGATGCTGCTATCCCCCAACCATCCCTCCCACCAGGCCCTCTGTCCCTACAAGGGAAATTTCACTGGAGTGGCTCAGTTTCTCGTCTGCAACTACTACCCTCCGGCTGCTGCTGTTTAGGCCATGTGGTGAGAGTTGCTAGCGTTGCTTTCTTTTATGCATATGCTGATGTGCATTACATGTTAGAATCCTCAAAATTGACTCCGATACAGCAAGCTCTTTTGTCCAGTACAGTAGGCTTTTGTACTGTAAAATTCATGCACCGGTGTAACAACACCGTACTTGTTACATGTTATATTTCTCCCAATAGCCGTGTCTTGACAGAGACAAAATCTGAGCTCTACAAGACCGTGATTCTGTAAATGATTAGTTAACAAAGACTCATAAAACAGACTGAAACTCATGAAGCTGAGGACAGGAGTTGAGAAAAGATAGTCAGGGCTCACAAGAGGTGGCCCAAGCAGGAAGCCCATGATTTGGCACCAAGAAACAGTATGACTGCCACGTGGAGAAGTGGGGTATCGATCCCCATACCTCTCGCATGCTAAGCGAGCGCTCTACCATCTGAGCTACATCCCCATGCTGGCCAGGGAGAAAAACACAATATTGTTTCGTTACTTTTGGTTCACCATTTCATTGCCTACATGTCTGCTGGCCAACACCCACACATACCGTAAAAACAGGAACTATCTCCATTTCAGCTGATTCTCTTTACTCTGCTTTACACTCCCATTCCTCCCCTCCCCTCTCCCCACTGCCACAGCAACCTGCTGTGTTGCCTTCACTCTATAGTGTACCACATAAATCCTTCATTCCGGCACCCTTCGCACATCCTGTCCTCTCCTCCCCTCCCCACCTGCTGTACTGTTTTCACTCTATCGTGTACCACATAAATCATTCAGTCCAGATAATTCCCTTACCCTGCTTCACGCCTCCTTCCTCCCTTCCCCTTCCCCCACTGCCTTAGCCACCTGCTGTGCTGCCTTCTCTCGTTACTCTGTTTCGGGCCTTCGACAAATCTGTCGCAGAGGCACTACTTCCTGATGGGGGAAGGATGAAGGGGAGGAATTCGGGGCAACGGGAAGGGTATCTTCTTCGCTCGATACTCTGTCTCGGGCCTTCGACAAATCTGGCGCAGAGGCACTAATTCCTGATGGGGGAAGGATGAAGGGGAGGAATTTGGGGCAACGGGAAGGGTATCCTCTTCGCTCGATACTCTGTCTCGGGCCTTCGACAAATCTGGTGCAGAGGCACTACTTCCTGATAAAGAGGAGGAAACAAGGACGGGGTGACTTTTGAGTTGTCTCGGGCCTTGGGCAAATCTAGCGCAGAGGCACTACTTCCTGGTAAAAGGGAGGGAGGACAAGGGGACGGGAAGGGAGGCCGGATGGAAGGAAGAGGAGGGATGCTGCCTTCGCCACCTGCTGTGCTGCCTTCAATTGGTAGGTACTCTGTCTCGGGCCTTGAGCAGATCTTACGCAGAGGCACCACCTCTTGATGGGGGAAGGATGAAGGGGAGGAGGATGGGGGGCAAAGCGAGGGGTATCCTCTTCGCTCTATACTCTGCCTCGGGCCTTCTTCAGATCTTGCGCAGAGGCACCACCTCCTGATGGGGGGAGGGAGGAAAGGCGGAAGGGGTGGACGGGAAGGGAGTTGACTTTCACTTCATCATCCAGTATCGTACACGGTACACCTCAAGTGATTCCTACTATGTTTTCGCCTGGCATGGCACCATCTATATGTAAACAAGGAGAATGGCACAACGATTCTAAGGTGTTTTGTTGATGTTTAATCAGCTCCAATTGGCACATAGGGCGAGCGAGTGCAATTACTCGTGGTAAGTTTGATTGTATGCACTATCACAATCAATGCACGCTCTCTTTGTATGACCTTTTATCATGTGGTACGAGGGTTGGGGAAATAAGTATGCAATTGATGCCAGCTCATTGGAGGCAAGGCCGGGCAAAGTGAATGAGAGACTGAACCACAAACATGCTACAAGATGAGGTGAGGTTGAACGACAAGAGGGCAAAGATAGATGTCTATACTGGAGAAGTGGGGTATGGATCCCCATACCTCTCGCATGCTAAGCGAGCGCTCTACCATCTGAGCTACATCCCCATGTACGCCAAATGCAAATTTGTTTTTTTTTTCTCAAGTATTTTTAAGTTAGCATTGCACTTTTCCGCTCACTCCCACTAGCTATCTGCTGTGATGCCTTCACTCCGCTCAGTCGTATACCGTACCTACTTTTGAGGTGCCTTTCTACAAAAAAACCAGTCGCACACCTAACTCCTTCAGTCCACTTAATTCTCCTTACCCTGCTTCACTTCTCCCTTCCTTCCCCTTGCCCCCACCACCTTAGCAACCTCCTGTGCTGCCCTCACTCTATACTCTTTAGTGTACCACATAGTTTCTTCACTACAGCTTTTTTTCTTTACACATCCCGCTTCCTCCCCTCGGGTATTGAGACATCTCAACACTTAATTCCCTTTACTCTGCTTCACGCTCGCCTTCTTCCCCTCCCCTCCTCCCACCGCCTTAGCCACCTGCTCTGCTGCCTTCACTCTATACTCTGTTTCGGGCCTTCGGCAAATCTTTCTCAAAGGTACCACCTCCTGATGGGGGGAGCAGGTGGGTGGAGGGTGGAAAGGCAAGAGGGGTGAGTTCTTATGCTGTACTGCCTTCATTCTGTACTCTGTCTCGGCCTTCGCCAGATCTTGCGCAAAGGGTACTGCCTCCTGATGGGGAAAAAAGTGGGGAAGAGTGTAGGAGAGTGGAAAAGTAAGGGGGTTGAGAGGAGGGATCGTGCCTTCACTTCATACTCTGTCTCGGGCCTTGGGCAGATCTTGCGCAGAGGCACCACCTCCTGATCGGGGGAACAGTGTAAAGGAGGGGAGGGGAGGAAAAGAAGGCAGGGGGTTGGTGAGGAGAAGGGGGAGATGTATCCTCTCCACCTGGTACTCTGCCTCCTCACGCCATGCCTCCTCCTCTACAAGTCATGCATAGTGAGCGCCACGCCACGCTGCCCACCCGATACCCATGTATCCTCTCACCTCGGTGTTGTCGTGCCGGTAGCGCACCCACAACCGGCACCTGCACCCCCTCACGTCATGCCTCCTCCTCTGCACATCCCCACTCCCTCCATGACCGCCATTCCATACCCATCTCTCACCTCGGTGTTGTTGTGCCGATACCGCACCCAGAACCGGCACCAACACCCCCTCACATCGTGCCTCCTTCTCTGCACATCCCTCATGTCTCCACTCACATGAGTAGCAGTCTCGCCTCTGTCACATGAGCAGCATATGCATCTCACATCGGTGTTGTCATGCCAATACCGCACCCAGGACCGGCACCGACACCCCCTCACGGCCCGCCTTCTCCTCTGCACGTCCCGCACTCCCCCACTCCCCGCAGTAGCAGCTCACGTGTCCAACCTTCCATCTCACCTCGGTATTGTCGTGGCGGTATCGCACCCAAAACCAGCACCTGCACCCTCTCACATCGTGCCCTGTCCTCTGCACATCCCTCACACACACTGGGCGACACTCCATCCAACCCACCCAGAAGCAAAAAGGAAAAAACTCACCTCGGTGTTGTCGTGCCGGTATCGCACCCAGAACGGGCATCTGCACCCCCTCACATCATGCCTCCTCCTCTGCACGTCCCGCACGTCAGCACTCACATGAGTAGCAGTATGGCCTCTGTTAGTGAATACCCATCTCACCTCTGTAATGCCGTGCCGGTACCGCACCCAGAACCGGCACCAACACCCCCTCACATCATGCCGCCTCCTCTGCACATCCCTCACACACTGAGCACCATGCCATGCAACCCACCCAGTACTCATGCAACCTCTCACCTCGATCTTGTCGTGCCGGTATCGCACCCAAAACCGGCATCTGCACCCCCTCACATCATGCCTTCATCTCTTCTCCACATCCCCACTTGTGCCATCCCATACCCATCTCACCTCTGTATTGTCGTGCCGGTATCGCACCCAGAACCGGCACCGGCACCCCCTCACGTCATGCAGCCTCCTCTGCACGTCCCGCACATCAGCATCGAAATACAGCGCCTGGTCGGACCCACTGGTGCCATGCCATATCCGTCTCACCTCGGTGTTGTCGTGCCGGTATCGCACCCAGAACCGGCACCGACACCCCCTCACATCATGCCTTCTCCTCTGCACGTCCCGCACGTCCGCACTCACATGACTAGCAGTATGGCCTCTCTTATTGTATACCACACTCACCTCGGTGTTGTCGTGCCGATATCGCACCCAGAACCGGCATCTGCACCCCCTCACATCATGCCGCCTCCTCTGCACGTCCCGCACGTCAGCATCAAAATAAAGCGCCTGGTCGGAAGCTTCCTGGAAGCAGAGAACGACGTCCCCAGGCAGCACGGCAACACACTCGGAGCCCTCGCAGGGGAGGGAGCGCGGGCGCACGGAGAGGCGGGCTGAGACCCACTCGTCTTCTTCGTCTGCAAAGCCGAAGAAACGCACCAACACTTGCTGTATAAGGGGGATGGGTGGGGGGTTTGTGGGTGGGGATGGGGGGAAACGATTGGTATATGAGAGGCGGGCTGACACCCACTCGTCCTCCTCGTCTGCAAACCCGATGAACCGCACCAGCACTTGCTATGTGCATGTGCGGGGAGGGGGAGGGAATGGGAAACAAGCAGTGGGGAAGCAGCAGTGGGTCTTGGGCAGTAGCAGACAGGGAGTGAGTAACAGGCAGCCCGTCCCAAGGCAGGCAGCACGGCAACACACTCGGAGCCCTCGCAGGGGAGAGAGGGAGGGAGCGCGGGCGCACGGAGAGGCGAGCTGATACCCACTCGTCCTCCTCCTCTGCGAAGCCAAAGAAACGCACTAGCACTTGCTGCATAAGGGGGAGAGAGGGAGGGGGAGGAGAGGGTGGTTGAAGGGGAGAGAGGGAGGGAGCGCAGGCGCACGGAGAGGCGAGCTGATACCCACTCGTCCTCCCCAAAGAAACGCACTAGCACTTGCTGCATAAGGGGGAGAGAGGGCGGGGGAGGAGAGGGTGGTTGAAGGGGAGAGAGGGAAGGAGCGCGGGCGCACGGAGAGGCGAGCTGATACCCACTCGTCCTTCTCGTCTGCGAAGCCAAAGAAACGCACTAGCACTTGCTGTGTGCGTGTGGGAGGGATACAAGGCCATTGAGGGGAAGAGAAGGAGGGGGGCAGCTGGGGCATACGAGGCAGTCACCCACTCGTCCTCCTCGCCTGCAAAGCCAAAGCATCGAACCAGCACTTGCTGCTTGCGTGTGGGGGAAAGGGGGGAGGAACAGAGAGGAGAGGAAGCAGGGATAAGGGTGAGAGGTTGGGAAAAAGGGTGTGTAGAGCCCTTATCAGGCGGGTTGCAGGCAGTAGCAGGCAGACGGGTTGTTCCCATGCAGGTAATATGGTAGAGGGGAGAAGCGAGCCGATTGGAATTCGCCCTCCTCATCTGCTAAGACAAAGAATAGAACCAACACTTGCTGCTTGCGTGTGGGGGAAAGGGGGGAACAGGGAGGAGGGGAAGCAGGGATAAGCAGGAGAGATTGGGAAAAAGGCTGTGTAGAGCCAGGAGGCGGGTTTCAGGCAGCAGCAGGCAGACAGGTTGTTCGCAGGCAGGCGACATGGTATGGGGGGGAGCGAAGCCGATTCCCATTCGTCCTGAGAACAAAGGGTGGTTTTGAGACGTCTCAGAACCACCCTTCGTTCACATGGTCAGTAGGCGGGTTTCAGGCAGTAGCAGGCAGACAGGTTGTTCCGAGGCAGGTAATACGGTAGGGGGGGGAGCGAGCCGATACGCATTTGTCCTGTGAACGAAGGGTGGTTTTGAGACGTCTCAAAACCACCCTTGTTTCAGTTTCAGGCAGTAGCAGGCAGACAGCTTGTTCCGAGGCAGGCAACACGGTAGGGGAGGGAGAGAGCCGATAGACATTCATCCTCCTCGTCTGCTAAGACGAAGAAGCGCACCGGCACTTTGGAAGGGGGGGGGGGAGAGGTTGGGGGAGAAAGGGGAGCAGGGAAAGCGCGGAGAGAATGGGAAATAGGCAGGAGGAGACAGGTGCAAAAATTCATCGGCACTGACTCATTCCTTTCTACTTATTGAGACAACGGAACATCCTGCTGACTCACCGTATCCCCTTGCTGACTCACCGTATCCCCTTGCTGACTCACCGTATCCCCTTGCTGACTCACCTAATCCCCTTGCTAACTCACCTCTTCACCGGATTCGGTCTTCCGATGTGCCAAGAGGCTTGCCACGTCATACCTTGAAAGAATGGATGGGATGGGTGAGAATGGGTAAGAATGGGTGGGAATGGTGAGAATGGTGAGAAATTTGTGATAAGGAGACAAAACGAGGAGAAACGGAGAAAGAATTGGTGATAACGTTTTACACAAAACAATATACACCAACACCACTCTGCATATACCATATATACCATACAGCACGCCCTGTTACCATTGATTATGTACCATGCACCGTCATGCACCTATCTCCTTTACAAACAACATGCACCATGCACCCATATGTACCAATCTCCTTCACCATGCCCCACTCGCCTTACCATGCGCCGTCTCTTGCGGATCGGGCTTCATACTCCATCGCACCCCACCAGCACCGATTAGGACCTACAAGCACCTACGAGAACCTACGAGCACCTACGAGCACCTACAAGCACCAACTAATCAGCAACAGGGGCAACAACGGTTACGAATAAGTACGAGTCGCTGTCACCACCACCGTATACGTATTCTGCGCGGCTTCCTGCGGAGCTAACTGTCTTGGCGTTAAATCATAGCACGAATGATGTCGGGCCGTTGTTGATACCAGCTCGATTTGCACACCAACGCCGTTTCAATAACTACTAATTCCAAAGGCTTCCAGACTTCGCCTCGTAGCGTCATGCCGACCCGTATACTAGTCACAAGCGCGTCCCTGTTAATCGAGAGTTTGTGAAAGCTATCGGGTCGTCGTCGGCTTATGTGTCAAGACGGTCGACGTAGTAGCGCGAACGGCGGTATACAAGAAAGCCAACGCCGCGACCAGTGCTGTCGTGAAAAAAACAGGATGGTATGGCAAAGAGACCAGCGTGAAAAAGCGCAGTGCGCATCCGGGGAATCGAACCGCGGTCAGTACCGTGGGAGGGTACTATGATACCACTACACTAGATGCGCGCGTTAGATATCTACTATAATTTTAACTGGATTAAATTACATTCACACCCCTATGTAGAAGAGTTGTTTTTGTGGCTGAATCTGGAGATACGAGCACCAGAAATGCCTATTACATATAACCAACTCATTCACACAGACAGACATTATAGAATTGTAAGCCATTGCGGCAGCGGTGGGAGCACCCCCAAAACTGCCAGCAATCGCACAGACAAAAACACACAGTAAGCTGCCACAAGAACAACCCCTGTTCTCTTGTCCAGCACCACTCCTCTCCTCCCCTCTCTGCCAGCTACACTACCTATAACCCTGCTTCCTGCCCCATCCCCTCCCCCTATCCCACCTCTTTCTCCTATCCCATCCGAATCCCCTCCTCTTTCTCCCAACCAACCCAGCCGAATCAGCACAAAGAGCAACACGAGGAATAGGAACCCAAGGGTGAATAGGAGGGTGGGATCCACGGGCACCACGTAAGGTTCAGGGTATCTGGACCAACAGGCGAGCACTAAAGACAAGCCCAGGCCGACCAGCGTGTTGAAAAGAGGCCCGGCGAAGCAGCCCGACCAGGCAATTTGCAACCGTGATTGGTCGCCGCTGGCAGCAAAGGACAAATTAGCGACTAAATCTCCGACCGAGTTACCCCAGGCGAGGACGGTCAGAGCCAGAATCGGAGGGGAAATTCCGAGGATTACCCCCAGGGAGACAAGGAGTGCGACAAGTTCGTTCGCCAGCGCGTAAAACCAGACGACGGACATGGCAAAGCTGGCAGTTACCCAGAGTAAAGAGGGTAGAAAGGACTGCGGTGGGGATTCCTCTTCCGTAGTGTAGTAAGTGAGGCAGGCGAGGAAAACCCCGAGGGAAGCAGCGAGGATAAATTCAAGTCGATCGGAATCGGCACCCAGGACAAAGGTGGTGAAAAGGAGGGGGGAGAGGAGGGAGGAGAGGACTGCGAAGGGTTTGGACCACTCGTCTTTGTGGTGGACGGGGATGGAGCAGAGGAGGGGCAGCGTGAGCGGGAACTTTATGAAGTACTCGCAGAAACCGGCAAAGGTCCAGGGGCGCTGTGCGGTGGAGAGGGGTGGGGTGGGGTGGGGAGGGGTAGAGTGAGTTGGAGTTAGTGTGGTGAGGGAAGGCGGAAGTTGTGCTGAGCGGTGGAGAGTGGTGCTTTACGGTACGAGTTGGAGCCTGAGTGGAGGCTAAGGAAGGCAGCAGTGGAGCGCAAAAAGCATGAAGACAGAACAAAGAATAATATTTTTTGGCCCAGAGAAAACAGGTCAAAGCCCACATCAAACCGCAACACCCCTCCCCCCAAACAGCCACTCACCAGCTCTGGGTCTTCCATTTCCTCGTCATAGCCCCACAGTGGTTCTCTCAGCTCGCCTGTTACACTCGCCGCCATGCGGTTACCAGTACCACGAGCGGCACCACCCGCAGGCACACCATCAGCAGTAGCAGCACCAGCCACACCACCAGCACTACCAGCAGCAGCAGCAGAATATGCATCATCAGCACCGGAAAAATCAGCAGAGGCAGCAGAGTGAAGCACGGGAGGAGCGGTGTGGGACGGGGAGGAGGACAGCGGGGGGGACAGTAGGCGGGGTGGCAGCACCACAGAGCAGCTGCCGCTGCCAGCTGTCACGTCCTCAGCCTCAACGTGCCCAGGTGGCGCGTCGCTATTGGCCGAATTCTCCCGGGAGAAGATGAAGGGGAGGGGGAGATAGTTGTTGGTGTGAAGGTAGTGGTGGGTGTGTAGGCGCGAGTGGAAGAGCGAGCGTTCGTGCGTCCACAGCCAGTGGGGTATCGTTGCTTGGGACACTGGGATGCACAGGGGGAAAAGGAGAAGGGAAGAGAGACAATACAAGGCAGTGTTGGGGTGGAGGTAGTGGTGGGTGTGCAGGCGCGAGTGGAACAGAGAGCGTTTGTGGGTCCACAGCCAGTGGGGTATCGTTACCTGTGACACTGGAATGAATAACAAGGGGGGGAAGGAGAAAATCAATATACGGCAGGTGTTGGGGTGGATGTAGTGGTGGGTGTGTAGGCGGGAAGGGAAGAGAGGGCGTTTGTGGGTCCACAGCCAGTGGGGTAGGGTTGCCTGTGACACTGGAATGCTTGAGGGGATGAGGAGAAAGGGGGGAAGAGAAAACAAGGGTCACAACCAATGGGGTGGCGTTGCCTGGGACACTGGAAAGAAATGGGATGAGATATGGGGGGGAAGGAGAGAGGGAAAGGCGAGAAAGAGAAACAAGGTAGGTGTTGGGGTGGAGGGTGGTGGGGTGGGTGTGCAGGCGAGAGCGGAAGAAAGAGCGTTCGTGTGTCCACAGCCAGTGGGGTAGGGTGGCGAGCGGGAGAGGAGGACAGTAGGCAGGGGAGTGGTTGTAAAGTAGGGTGGAAGGAGACGGAGTCTTGGATCGAGTCTCAGTTCGAGTCAGTTCACTCACCTGAGCGGATGAACGGGTGTATCTGGAATCCGGGGGTGTGTGCCTCCGGCCTTGGAAGGCAGTATGAGAGCAGGACAGCGAGGCAGAGAAAATCTCGGATAGAGTCGCATTTCGAACCATCGTACTCACCTGAGCGGATGAAGGGGTGCATCTGGAACCTGGGGGTGCGTGGCTGCGTTGTTGGCAGGCAGTGGGAGAGTGTGAGTGCGAGGCAGTAGGCAGGTAGATGGTGCAGGGTGGGGTCGAGGCAGAGAGAATCTCGGATGGAGTCTCAATTTGAGTCTGTGTGCGTACCTGAGCGGATGAAGGGGTGTATCTGGAACCTGGGAGTGCGTGGCTCCACTGCTGGCATGCAGTGGTAGAGCGCGACAGCGACACAGTAGGCGGGGTAGTGGATGCAAGGCAGGGTAGGGTATAGGCTGACAAATTCTGGAACAGTTCACTCACCTGAGCGAATGAAGGGATGTATCTGGAACCTGGGGGTGTGTGCCTCGGGTGTTGGCATGCAGTGGTAGAGCGCGACAGCGATGCAGTAGGCGGGGTAGATGGAGAAGAAGAGCAGTGCGTGGTGTAGGTGCACCGCGCGCTGCCACACCAGCACACACAGGGCCTGCAAATGGAGGGGGGGAAGGGGATGGGGAGGAGGGAAAGGAGCAGAGTAACATGTGGTTGAAGAGAGGGGGACAGCGAGGCAGTAGGCGGGGTAGATGGAGAAGAAGAACAGCACGTGTGGTAGATGGAGAAGAAGAACAGCGCGTGTGGTAGATGGAGAAGAAGAACAGCGCGTGTGGTAGATGGAGAAGAACAGCGCGTGGGGTAGATGCACCGCGCGCTGCCACACCAGCACACACAGGGCCTGTTGGGGGGAGGAGCAGAGGGGGTTCGGAGTGGGAGGGGACGGGGGGAAGAGCAACCTGTGGTATGAGGAGTGGTTCACAAGAGGGGGACAGTGAGGTGGTAGGCGGGGTAGATGGCAAAGAAGAGAAGTGCGTGGGGTAAATGCACCGCGCGCTGCCATACCAGCACACACAGGGCTGTGAGGGTAGCGAAGGAGGGGAGTGCGCGAGTGAGTGAGGAGTGAGCGTACGTGAATCAGGAGAGTGCATTAGTGAGTGTGGAGAGCACGTGAGCGAGTGGGTGAGTGAGTGAGGGAAATGCGAGAGGGGGGAGGAGGGCGGCTTGTGTGAACCAGGAGTGGTTAGCTAGGGTTGTTCTTTGACGGGGGGGAAGACTGAAGGATAGAAGTGGCAATACTTACACCAAGGATGGTGTAACAAGTTGAATCACATTGTGACAATAACGAGGGACGGGACAACAGCAGAAGGCACACACCAGGCGAGCAGGGAGGCAGAAATTCAGGTCTGTCACAAAAAAAAACAGGTGCCACTGTGCCCATGTGAGAGGTGAGCAACTGAGTTAGTGACAATAACGAGGGGTGTGATAAGGCAGACGAAAACGCACCAAGACAGCAAGGAGGAAGAAGGTCAGGTCTCGTATAAAGGACGATCGGTGCAACTGGACCCTCGGAGCCTTGCTGGCCGCCACGAGACAAACGGAGCCAGCCACCACAGTGGAGACAAAGCACGCCGCCCCCAAGACGCCGTTGAATCCCACCAGGCTCTGATGTCCTTTTCCCACAAACGCCACCACGCTGCAAGGGATGGAGAAGGGGAACGGGAAAAGACAAAAGAGAACAGGGGGCGGGAGAGGAAGGAGGATTCTGAGATGACTAAAAAGAGGGAGGAGGGAAGAAAGTGGAGAGGGGGAGCTGGAAGGGCTCTTTCCACAAAGGCCACCACGCTGCAAGAGATCGAGAGAACGAGAACGTTGAAGGTGTGGAACAGGACGGGGTGACTTTTGAGTCGACTCAAAAGAGATGGAGAGAATGAGAACGTTGAAGGTGTGGAACAGGGCGGGGTGACTTTTGAGTCGGCTCAAAAGAGATGGAGAGAATGAGAACGTTGAAGGTGTGGAACAGGGCGGGGAAGCACGGTTGGGGAGGAGGGAAGAAGGGGGGGGAGAAGGGAAGAAGGGGGGGAAGGAGGGAAGAAAGGGGGGAAAGAAGGGAAAAAAGAAGGCTTTTGACACACTCTCTTTCCTCACTCCGTCTCGCTATCTCCCTCTCTCAAGTTCAGTATTCCCCGCTTCACCTGGCGAACACGTCAGGCGCGCCATTCCTCAGCAGCAGCAGCATTACCCCTGCCACAATGGCCCCCTTACCCATCCGCAGCACTCGTCTTCCTCTCACGCACACCCCCTCCCCTCCCCCTCAACCCTCCCCACCCTCACCTGGCGAACACGTCAGGAGCGCCAGTCCCCAGCGGCAGCGTCGTCACCCCCGCTACCACGGCCCCCTCTTTCCCCCTTCAACCCTCCCCACCCGCCCTCCCTCACCTGGCGAACACGTCAGGAGCGCCATTTCCCAGCGGCAGCAGCGTAACCCCCGCTACAGCGGGCGGCAGCCGCAGCAGCTCCGCGAGTTCTTCTAACGAGGGGCAGAAAAAATCCGCCGCGATATTTCCCAGGAGGAAAATCAGCGCCGCCAGCCACGTCAGCAGCAGCGCTACACCCAATACCGGGCTTCCTTCAAACGTGCAGTAGAAGAATTGGAGGTATTCCAGCTGCGCGCCGCTGCGGCAGGCGGTTTCCGCGCGCGCGGCGGCGCACTGCTCCGCGGGGGAGCCGTGGATCGGCGCGGAGCAGTTGCCGGGCGCGGGATCGTGCGGGAGCAGCGCTGGAATTTTCCGCTTGGGGGGAGGGGAACCCGGGGCGAATGCGGAGATGATGTGCGGGGAAGACGGCGGAACGCTTGCCGTCGCTGTGCTTAAAACGAAATTGGCTTCGATTGAATGACTCGGCGCGGAAGTCCGTTCAGACAATCGCTGAAGATGTAGTTGAGACTGTCGCACATCCAGTCGCTCAGACTGTCGCCCATACTGCCGCTCGGCCTGTGGTATCTCCGTCGCATGGATCTCAATCTTGACTGGCGACGACGAAAGCAGTCGCCTGTTCGGACCGACAGCCGTCGCATCAGACGTTGACGCCAGCGCGGGAAACTCGCTACCGGAAAACGAAGACGCCGAAAACGAGGATGACGAGGAGGCGGAGAGGGAGAAGGGGGCGGAGGAATGAGAGGGAGGGGGCTCTAGTAACCTTTCTGAGTGGATGGCGAGGGGTTGTAACGGGCTTCGCCAGAGTAACAATGCGATAGCGGTGATGATTAGCGTCAGCTTCACAGCCGTCGACGACCATCGCCGAGCCATCGCCAACGAGCTCGCGAAAACTGCAAAACGCTGTGAAACGGTCTTGACGAAAGAATTGGGAAGTGTCTTGACCTCAAGAAACTACTTAAGTGAACCGGGACTGACTAGTCGAATGTATTCCTAGAATACCCGTGGTAGTCAGTTGGTATTTTACGGAAGAGGCCGAGGTGGTAGTTACGGCTACGTACGGCGCGCTTCTGGAAATAAAGACGTAGAGAACCAATCGATGCGGACCCACGCCTCACGCTAGTTCCACTAGCACGGAAAAAAACGAGCTTAAATGCCGCCCCATAGAAGACTAGTTTTCAAGTAACCCTTCAGCCGTCTCTATCTGCCGCTCCAATCCTTCATTATTATCCTTTTCAGTCGCAGCTTGAGAGACGCTTTGAAATGTACGAAGAAGATTCGCTCCTCGTGGTAACCCGCGGTGCTGACACGAGGTAATATAAGAATAACCAAACGGTGTCCTTACTGCTGCCTTAATGGTGTTCTATTGGTATACCTACTGGTGTCCCCATGGTAACCTGACCGTAACCTAATCCCTTAATGTATCTGTTGTCTTGGTAAATTGACTTCTGAGTCGACTCAAAGGGGACAAAACGGCTTCGATGCTTCTTGAAACGCCTCCGAGAAACTCGACGCGCGGACAAGTTTTAACTACTGGAACCCCATTCTCATGAGCCACGCGGTGATGATGCTCAGGAAAGCAAGCACAGGAGAAACGGCTGTCTGGTTGTGCTGACTAGAAATGTATAATTGGACAGGAAACTGGTAAAATCTCCCCCGAAACAACGGGCTAAGTTTTCGCTAGAGCAAGATCAGTCTCATCCCGTAACCAGCTCGCAGCCGTCCTACACCGATGACGGACTCCTTCGGGCAGCATAGGTCCTTCCGCTAGGAGCACACCGCCATGGTTTAGGCTTCAGGAAACTAAGACCTGCGCGGGGAGGAGGTAATGAAACTGGAGCAGCCGCGATCCCAATTAGGGTGGTGATGACCAACTGGACGTTCTGTTCAAAGAAAGCGGTTGAGTACGATTATGTACAGTCTGCAGCGGTCCAGCTTCCAGTCGCCACTTTGAAACAGCGAGTACTGTGGTGGTGCTCCTGATGCACGAACGCTTGAGATGACACTTTCGAAAGGCGACCGTTGCCACACGCGCTTATTCTCAGGCTGAAGACAAGAGAAACGACCAAAACCGCCTCAGAGTTTAGAACCGATTTGTCTCCCGCTCCGCAATTCCACCAGTGCCGTGTGTGTACGGAGGAGAGCAGAGGGAGGAAGGGAGGAGTTTGCCGTGTCAGTTTGGATGATACGGCTGTACAGTACAGTTCAAAAATCATCCAAGAACTGTGGAGATGAAAATCGCGGGGAAAATATGTCAATGGTAACTTACATGGGGCAGTATAACGCGTACGGTAACGATTTCAACGCGTTTGGTAACTCGCTTAACGCGTTTGGTAACTCGCTTAACACGTTTGGTAACTCGCTTAACGCGTATGGTAACTATACACTAGCAGCCCATCACGCGAATGGTAACTAGAAGAAACCCTCGCCCAAAATGACCCTGATTCTGGTTTTTCCCGCTCGCGTCAGACTAAATTGACGAATCTTGAAGCAGAAACCTTTGACACACTCTCCGAGATTCTGACACAGTTTTCCAAAATTCTGACACACTTCCCGAAATCCTGACACACTTTCCGATTTTCAAGCTAATTGCAAAACCGTAAGTGTTTCAAAAACAAAGTTCTATATGCAACTGATATTCTGGCGCTCTTTCCACAAACTGTTTGTACTTAATTCTATCGTGCAACCGGAGCAAACAAATCTATGCCCCTTTCAGATGGCAAATGAATTTGGGAGTATCAACCCTAAACTCCTTGCGACAAGGCGTATATGGTTCTTTTTTGAAAAATGAAACAATTCTAAAGAGGTGTATCTTTTCCACATGAAAAATAAATTGCCAACGTTGCAGTAATTACAAAACTTAAAAGCCTGATGCCCTTTCGCGGAAAGTTTTTTTTTAATCATTTTGCAAGTTCGCAATCATGCTATAAAAAATATGATTTGAACCGTTTTTGTACGAGCCATATATATATATACATATATATAAACTTTGAAACTTCTTGGTCTGTGGTATTAGACTAAACAGTGTCCTTCAAAGTCGCGGCAGAACTTGTTCAATAAAGATAAAACTGTGCGTAAAGGCTTTCAAATTTGATAAATTTCTCAATTTCAGGATCATTTCGGCGGGAGTTTCATGTAGTTGCCATTCGCGTGATGGGCTGCTAGTATATAGCTACCATACGCGTTAAGCGAGTTACCGAACGTGTTAAGCGAGTTACCAAACGCGTTAAGCGAGTTACCAAACGCGTTGAAATCGTTACCATACGTGTTATACTACCCCATGTAAGTTACCATTGACATATTTTCCCAAAATCGCGATTGTGGAAGACCGTTTGACGCGGCAACATCGACGATCATTACACTATGGTTATTCCATCATGCCTATGTATACGGATATCCAAACTTCAATTTGGTTCATTCGTAGGGGGGCTCTCTCTCACGCAGAGCAGCAAATTTGGAGTGGAAGACTTTACTAGGCTGGAAGCAATAATGTTTTGAAGGGTTCAAAACTTTCTGACTGGAAGCTAGAGTGGCAGATTCAGTATCAGATTCGTGGGTGCTGCTGCTGATGAAAGCATGAGCACAATGTTTCATGGGTTACTTTTCAATGCCAGCTCAAATAACCTTACGTGCCACCAATATTTACATACCAGTACAAATTGAGGGGGTTTGGATGATCAATTAATGCTGGGCCAGCTTTCTCAACGCAAATGCTGGAACCGCTGTGCTCTAAACAAAAAAAAGGTCAGTGACAGTGTCACGTCACGTACATATGAAACCTGCTTCAGGTCGCAGTACCGTATGTACTAATTATAACTGACCTACTAGTAAGAAAACTCTTCATCGTCGCATGAAGTTTCGAGAACTCACGACGATGCTCCAATATTTACAGGTGCCATACCAGCCACATACCCAGAGACAGGATTGAGGCATCAACGGAACCAACCCTACTGAAGGCCATCCTGTTGTACTGCATCCAACCATACCTTACCCTACTGAACTGTCTTAGAACTACCTTTTTGTGTTGGTTCCCTTGCACATACCCTCTTATACCTCTATTCTGACACACAACCTGTCCCCTCCGCTGCTCTCCCCTCCTCCCAACCCCAACTCCCAATCACTCCTCCCCTCTTTCAACCCTGAATCCTCCTCCTCATCTGTCACCCCTAGAAACCGCCTCAACTCCTCTAACCTCCTCGAATCACCCAATTTCTTGTCGTTCCCTTCTCCTGTCAACGTAATTTCCGACCAAGATGCGCTAATCTCCTGCAATTTCTCCTGACCTTCCTGAAGTTCCTCATCCTCCTGAACGTCCCCCCTTTGCAAACGCCTTCTGTCTGTCTCTCCAGTTCGTCTCCTTTGCGAAACTACTGCTGCTGCTGGTATCGCTGATGATTCTACTACCGCTGGAACCCTAATCCCAGCTAGTTCGCATGACGCATCCGTTCCTGCTGTTCCCACTGCCGCCGCTGCGGATGACGCATCTGCTTCCCCTGTTTCCGCAACCGCTGCTGCTCGTACCACTGGCGGTCGTGCCAATGCTTCAGATGAAGAATCCATTTCTACAATTTCGTGCTGCTGCTGAAGATTATCAACAATTTCGACCTCAATGCTAACGCTATCCGCTGTTGTCTCACTCACTGTTGTCGACGGATCCTCCTCGTCGTTAGCCGTCGCATGTCTCTCGCTTGAATCGCCTGAATCGCCTGCATCCGACGTTCGACCTTGAGAGTCTTCCTGCTGGCTCGGATGTTTCGGGGGTTTCAAGTTGAAGCGGCAGATGGGACACGTGGTATGCGCACAAAACCATATGTCGATACACGTGGCGTGAAATCTATGTCCGCAGGATGGTAGCGTCTTGACACATTCCCCATCCTCATACTCGCCAAGGCACACCGCGCACTCGCGAAAGCTCTCGCAGCAGCCTTCGTGAAGCTTTTCGCGGGAGAAAGTGACGGTCGGCAGCGCCTGAACGATCTCGGGATCGAGCCCCGCCGTCGGCGCTTTTTGCATCGCGTTGGGTTGCGAGCGATGCATCATGTGTTCTTCCAAGGTGAGTGTGCGATCATCCGGACCGCGAGAATCGCGTGCGTTCAGCACCAGGAGGCACGCGCGGATGACCATAACGAAGAAGAAGAGGAAGATGAAGAGAATAACGAATACGGAGAGCACGGCGCTGACGCTGGTGGAGAATCCTGCAGCTGCGGCAGCCTCGGACTGGTTCTGCACGGGAGTCGGGGTGGACATTTCATAATTCTTGAAATTGACAATAAATGAAAGGATGAAATATGATCCGCTAAGACCTAACTTTTGACCTTCAATCTAATTGGGCTCTAGTTGCTCTATCCGTCCAATAGGAAGTTGTCTAGCAGAAATGGCCAGCGGAAATTGAGACCAGTGAAGTAGCACAAGACTGCCAGCTTAGGATTTGGGGAAGGATGGACAGCTGGGGGGTTCTTCAACGCGTTCTTGGGTTGTTTGTTATGAATACGGTTCAGTTGGTTTCCTCGCGTTTGAACACGGTAATTTCTGGAAACCTGCAGCGAACCGAAGCGTACTGTGGAACCGAAAATGAATGTGCTGGATGGAAACCGATGGATTCGTTTGCTGTTTGTGCTGGTGCCCCCCATCAGGCGGATGGGATGGAAGAAGCAAGAAGAAACACAACAACCTCCGCGTCCCACCGAACTGAACCCAACTGGGGGAGGGAGGGGCAAGAATGCTGCTGGGACGCGCACGCGCACCAACTTCCACTGTCATTTGGCCCCTTGACCGCCATTGGTCTCTCCCAGGAACCGTGCAATGCAACTTCCTTCCTGCACGCAGTTACTGTACATCATTTGCAAACCCCATGGCGGAGCAGTCATCATCAAAAGTAGACACGTGGAGGGCTCAGCTCGCCACGCGACACCAACACCTTCCAAGCATCACGCGGCTCTGACGTGTCGATGACAGATGTGCTGGTAATGCAGAGTTGACGTCAGAGTCTCAACATTCCGCGTGGACTCACATGATCAATGTCAACTGTAGGAACGCATCTTCGTTCAACCTAGGGGACGACGGTGGGAGCCCAACAGCAGCTTCTCCACGTCAAACACACCCGGCTTGACGTAAGCGACGAAGACCAGGTTTGACAGCCTGTGATTGGCTTGAAGGCTTGTAAGGAGGTAAAAGCGACAAGCCAATGTGCGAACAGCTGCTTAACTGAAGGAAAGTGTTTCCTCAAAACTTAATCACAGCAAGTACACTTGCTATGGTTGTAAACGAATAAAACTCAATTCCAGCAAAATCTTCAGAGCATGTAGTCTGCTGGCATATTATTTATCTGCCTCATTGCTAAAGTACTTATAGAAGATCCCAGACTACACGCATAAAAGAAAAAAAAACATATGGAAGTGGTTTCAAAACATATTAGATCTTAGTTGCTGCAAACAAGTGAGCATGGACAAGCACTACAAGCGGGGTAATATGGACATCATCTGTAGCGTACATACTGCTGATATGTTGAGAACAGACCATGTGGATAAAAACAGGCAACCCATCCTGCTCAGCAGAATGCCAGGCAAATTTTGTGCTTGCACGGCATCATATGCAAATGAGTGGGCAAAGGGAAGTTGAGATGAGCAAGCAAGGAAGGGGATGATGCACAATGCATCTAACGTACATGACACATGGAACAATGGACAAGGCACATGAATCCGAACAGCACATGGCGGACAGTGCATGCATGACACATGCTACATGTTACGTCAAACAAGGATCGACATGGCACATGCCAGACAGTGTATGACATATGCTACCATGGCCCATCATGCAAGGACCTACATGCACATGCGAGACGGTGCATGACACGTGCTAGCATGCCCCATCATGCAAGGACCTACATGGCACATGCAAGATGTTGCATGACACATGCTACCTCCGCAGCCCACCTGTTTAACACTGACGGCCTATTCGTCATGGTGGTATACTGAGGAGAACCCTACCTTGAAAATGATGCCACTCACCATGCTGATGTCATGCCACTCGCCAGGCTGATGTCATGCCACTCGCCATGCTGATGTCATGCCACTCGCCATGCTGATGCCATGACACTCGCCATGCTGATGCCATGACACTCGCCATGCTGATGCCATGACACTCGCCATGCTGATGCCATGCCACCAGCTACCGTATGCTGAATGCTAACCGTCCCTGTGTTGACCATGCCATGTCTTTGCGGCGATCAACATCGAATTCACAAAGTTTTGAGTAACTTTTGAGAATCCTCTAGAATGATTCACGGACTGATGATGCCCCGACTCTTTACTGCCATGCTTCTTCACCAAAATGCTTGACCAAGGTGCACATGCAGTGTTGAACGGAGGGACAAGGTTGATGGTGCTGGTGCTGAGGTTGCGGATGGTGATGGTGATGTTGATGCTGGTGCTAATGCTGCTGATGGTGCTGCTGATGCTACTGATTGTACATGGGACGAAGTAAGCTGTGAATGTTGATGCTGGTGCTGATGTTGATGGTTCAATGAAGGCCATGGAGGGATGTGGATGCGGGTCACAATCAAATGAGGCCCACCACCCAGGGAAGAATGATGATGCTGGTGCTGGTGCTGATGCTGGTTGTACATAGGACAAAGTAACCAGCGAATGTTGATGCTGATGCTGCTGGTGCTGGTGCTGGTGCTGGTGCTGGTGCTGGTTGTACATAGGACAAAGTAAGCAGCGAATGTTGATGCTGATGCTGCTGGTGCTGGTGCTGGTTGTGCATAGGACATAGTATGCAGTGAATGTTGATGCTGATGTTTACGCTGATGCTTGTGTTGATGCTTATGCTGATGCTGATGCTGGTGCTGATGCTGATGATGCTGATGTATTGCTGATGCTGACGCGTTACTGCTTGCAATAGCACACTTCAGTGTTACTTGGGGATCGCGCAGCGTTGGAATGGTGGTTGGTTTCAATGTCAATGGTGATCCATTCATGCTGATGGTGGTGCCTGGAATTGATATGGCAATCAATGGTAGTGCTGGGAACTGGAATGGCATTCCATATAATGGTAGTGCCTAGAATGCAATGGCAACCCACCATGGGAATGCTAGAGATACAAAATGGAACAACAACCTGTGGTAATGCTAGGAACTGGAAGGGCAATTGATGGGAATGCTAGGAATCGAACGGGCAATCGATGGTCATGGTAGTGACGGGAATTGGGATGGCAACTCACGGTAATGCTAGTGGCTGGAATTGCAATGCCAAGCAATGCTGATTCTAGTGATTGGAATCGAAATGGAAGTGCATGGTAATGCTAGTGATGAAGGTGGAATCACAAACCATGCTAATGCTAGTGGCTGGAATTGCAATGCCACGCAATGCTGATTCTAATGACTGGGGGAGTTGGAATGGCAATCCATAGCAATGCCAGTGACTAGAAATTGGAATGACGATTCATGGTAATGCAAGCGAGTGGCTGGAATCGCAATGCCAAACAATGCTAGTGGCTGGGAAATGGAATGGCAATCCATCGTTATGCAAGTGGCTGGCATGCCAATTGACTGCAATGACCTAAGAGAGGTGCAATAACCATGTCCTGCTCATGCCTGCATGCCACGCCATGTCCATGCCACATGGGTGCCACATGGATGCCACATGGGTGCCACATGGATGCCACATGGATGCCACATGGGTGCCATGTGCATGCCAATCCATGCTACCTCCATAAGCAGCAACAGCAGCAGCAGCAGCAGTAGCCTCCTCCGCCCCTACCGCTCCTGTTGCCCCTCCATTCGAATCTCCATCCGAACCTCCATCCGAACCTCCTTCTGAACCTCCATCCAAACATGCATACATCCCTGCTAATGAATTCTTGGCTTTTCAACTGCACCAACTCCTTCTGCCCCTGCTGCCTCTACTGCCTTTGCTGTCCCTACTGCCCTTGCTGCCCCTACTGCCCTTGCTGCCCCTAATGCCCCTGCTGCTCCATCTGCCACACCCCTTCACGCCCAAAACACACTCTTAGTCAACCCACTTGCTGCTGCCAATGCTGCAGCTGCTGCAGCTTCCGCCCAATCACCCCTCCTGTCCCTCCCAACACTCCTCCTGCCCCCCCCAATCCTCCTGCCCCTCCTAACCCCCCTGGCCCCCCTGCTCCTCCGTCCATTCCTGCTGCCAGTGGGGCCTATCCCTTCCCTATATCCCCAAACCTAGCCTACCCTTCACAATCACAATGCACTCTAAGTCAACCCACTCGCTGCTGCCACCTCCGTTCCAATCGCCCCCCCTGTCCCTCCCACTCCCACTCCCCCTGCCCCTTCTACTGCTCCGTCCGTTCTTGCTGCTGGTAAGGGCTCCTCCACTGGGCCTATCTCACATCCCACGAGAAACACTAGGTCAACCCACTCACTGCTGCCAACACTGCGGCTGCTTCCGCCTCCGCTCCAATGCCCCCCCTGCTCCCCCTGCTCCTCCATCTGTTCCTGCTCCTCCTACCCCTCCAACCCCCTAGTGCTCCTCCTGCTCCTCCTACCCTTCCAAAACACACATTAAGTCAACCCACTCGCTGCTGCCAACACCGCTGCTGCTGCCGCCTCTGCCCCAATCGGCCCCCCTGCTCCCCCTGCTCCTCTGTCCGTCCCTGCTGGTGCGGGCTCCGCCACTGGGCCGATCTCACTCTTCACAACGCCCCCCACTCCGCCCACTTCCCCCACTCCCCCCACTCCCCCCATTCCGCCCATTCCCCCCACTCCCCCCATCCCTCCCCCGAAGCCCGGCCCCTTAACTCCAAGGGGGTTCTTGGAGAACTGGATGCGGATGGGCCCTCTGTCTGATGAAGCAAGGGACGTGCCTTGTAGTGCCGCGTGCACTGCTGATGCTGACGCTATGTCCTGTTGGGGGGGAGGGAGGGGGATGCGGGAGGGGAGGGGGATGCGGGAGGGGAGGGGGATGCGGGAGGGAGGGGGATGCGGGAGGGAGGGGGATGCGGGAGGGAGGGGGATGCGGGAGGGAGGGGGATGCGGGAGGGAGGGGGATGCGGGAGGGAGGGGGATGCGGGAGGGAGGGGGATGCGGGAGGGGAGGGGAGAATAATGAAGGGGCGGATGGGGCCTCTGTCTGACGAGGCCAGACAAGTGCCTTGTAGCGCCACGTGCACTGCTGATGCTGACGCTATGTCCTGTTGTGTGTGGGGGCGGTTGGGGGTGGGGTGGGAGGGAACGAGAGCACAGCTGATGCCACAAGCCCTCCCCCTTGACTCCAAGGGAGGGGGTTCTTGGAGAACTGGATTCGGATGGGCCCTCTGTCTGAGGAGGCAAGGGACGTGCCTTGTAGCGTCGTATGCACTGCTGATGCTGACGCTATGTCCTGAAGGGGGGAGGGGCGTGGGGTTGAACGCGGTGAGAGAGGGTCAGAAACTCCACAAGCCCGGCCGCTTTACTCCGAGCGAGGGGGGTTCTTGGAGAACTGGATTCGGATGGGCCCTCTGTTTGATGAAGCAAGGGACGTGCCATGTAGCGCCCCGTGCACTGCTGATGCTGACGCTATGTCCGGGGGGGGGCGGGGAAGGAGGGGGGAGAGGTGAGTGAGGGTCGGTTCCCCCAACGGACCACTCCCCTTTGACTCCGAGGGAGGTTTTTTTTGGAAAACTGGATTCGGATGAGACCTCTATCGGAAGAGGCTAGGGAGGTGCCTTGCAGTGCCGCGTGCACTGCTGATGCTGGCGCTATGTCCTGTTGGGGGGGGGGGGGGGGGAGTGTGGGAAATGAGAGTTAGAATAGAAGTTGTGTCTTGATTGAGAATGATGGGGGTATACATAGTTGGAGGTTGGATACTAGCCTTGGTTGGCATTATTGGACCCCAACCAAGAAGTTGAGTTGGGTGATTATTGGTGGGGTCCAATAATGTTGGCCAAGGTGGGGTTGGCCAACATTATTGGAGGGAGCCAATAATTCTACCCAACCCAACCTTTTGGTGTCCAATAATTGGACCAAGGTTGGGTTCCAACCTACAAACTGGGTTACCCCTGTTTGTACACCCAAACTAAGTTTGGGTGCTTATCTCTAGCCTATCCTATAGCATATATGCAGGTTACAAGAGGAGAGATATTCTAACACAACCCCTTAACCTGCAGATATGTGGACAGGCTAGAGAGTAGCAACCCCTGAATTAAGGCACGCCGGGAGGGGCGAGGCCGATGAGACGGAGAAAAGCAGAGTGCGCAGGGCGGAGAAGGGCTTTGGTAAATATATCAGCCAAGTTGGCCGCGGCAGCGATCTTGCGGACTGCAATGAGGCCTTGCTGGACGAGGTCACGGATGAAGAAGTAGCGAAGCTCGATGTGCTTGGAGCGGCCGTGAAAGACTGGGTCCTGGGTGAGGTGGATGGTGCTGTCATTGTCACACCAGAGTGTGGGACAGCGCTGCGGGGCACCAAGCTCGGCGAGAAGAAAGCAGAGCCAACGGGACTCTTGGGCAGCCATAGTGCCAGCATAGAGTTCGGCTTCGCAGGAGGAGAGGGCAACGGCAGAGGAGCGAGTAGAACGCCAGCTGATAAGTCCGCTGCCAAGCGTGAAACCATAGCCTTGTGAGGAGCGGCGGTCTGGCTGGGAGTCCGCCCAGGAGGAATCACTGAAGCCAGAGAGAAGGGGAGGGGAGGAACCACCCAATGTAAGGGCGTGATCCTTGGTGCCCCGGAGGTAGCGGAGAACTCGCTTAGCGGCAGTCCAGTGTTCCTCAGTGTGGCGGCCGGAGCCGACGAACCGAGCGAGGACGCTGATGGGGTAGGCAAGGTCGGGGCGAGTGCACATCATCGCGTACATCAGCGACCCGACGAGTTCGGCATAGGGACGGGAGGAGGCGGAGGGGGAGGTGGGTGGCGCCAGCTGGTGACCGAAGGGGAGGGGGGTGGAGACCGGTTTGGCCTGCGCCATCTCGAACTTCTCCAGCACCTGGCCGATGTAATGGGACTGGGAGAGGGTGATGGTGCGGGCGGATCGGTCGCGAGTGATGGTCATGCCGAGGTAGTTCTGCAGCGGACCAAGGTCCTTCCACTTGAGACGGTCCTGAAGGGACTGCTTCACCTGGTCCATGTCGGTCCTGGAATCAGCAAGCAGGATCATGTCGTCAACATAGACCGAGATGAAGAAGCGAGGGGAAGAGCGGATGAAGAGGCTGGCATCGGAGTGGGAGGCAGAGAAACCGAGGGACTGGAGAGTGGTAGACAGCTTGGCATGCCATTCTCGTGGTGCCTGCTTCAGACCGTAGACTGGTCGACGTAGTTGCCAGACGGTATTGCCGGGGAAAGCAGCGTGAAACCCGGGAGGTCGGCGTAGGAAAATACGCTCGTGCAGCTCGCCTTGCAAGAATGCGTTGGAGACGTCCATGGAGTCAATCTCCATGTTGTCGCGCGCACCAACGTCGAGAAGGGCGCGAAGGGTAGGTGGCTTAACGGTAGGGGCGAATGTGAACCAGTAGTCCTCAGCCCAAGTCTGTGTAAAGCCTTTGGCGACATAGCGGGCCTTGTAGACTGGTTCTTCTCCCGGCAGCTGTTTTACTCGGAAGATCCACTTGCCCTCGACAAGGTTGGCGTCAGGAGGGAGGGGCACATCGATGAAAGAGTCATTGCGGATGAAGGCCTCACATTCCAGGAAGATGGCGGCTATCCATTTGTCGGCATCCGGGCAGGTGGTAGCTTCCTGGAAGGTGGAGGGGACGAAGATGGTGGGAGCGGAGACTGCGGCAAGGATAAGAGCGCCGAGGAAGCCAGGGTAGAGGGGGGTGAGAGAGGGAGTGTGGCGCTGGACCATAGTAAGTTCCTCATGGAAGTCTTCTAGTAGGTTGAGGGAGGGAGAAGGCGGTGTGCCAAGGATGGGATCAAGGGAGCGGGTGTGCATGCGAGGGAGGAGGAAGGGTGAGGAGCGGGCAGTCGCCCTCCGCCGCTGCTGCTGTTGGTGCTGCTGAAGCCCCTGCTGCTGCTGCGGCTGCTGCTCCTCCTGCTGCTGCTGCCCCTGCTGCTGCCCCAGCTGCTGCCCCTGCTGCTGCCCCGGCTGCTGCCGCAGCTGCTGCTGCCCCTGCTGCGGCGGCGGCTGCTGCTGCTGCTGCTGCTGCTGCGGCTGCTGCTGCTGCTGCTGCTGCTGTTGGGATGAAGGAGAGGGAGGGGAGGAGGGGAAGGGGAGAGGGGGGGCGGCGGAGTGGGCAGGGGATGCAGGTGCAGTAGGATCATAGATGTCAGCAGAGGAGGGCGGTGGAGGTGGAGCAGGGAGAGGTGGTAGTAGAGGCGCAGGAGGGAGGAGGGGAGGGAGGACAGTGTCGGTCCAGGCGAGAGGACGAGTAGGAGAAGGGAGGGGGTCTGGTGGTGGAGAGGAGTAGTACGGGGTGGTTTCGTCAAAGACGACGTCAATGCTGCGGATGAGGCGACCGGAGGGAGGGTGGAGGAAGAGATAGCCAGGCGAGTGGCGGTTGTGTCCGAGATAGACACACTCGAGGGCGCGGGAAGCGAGCTTGCCGTGGGTGCGGTCAGAAGGAGGGATAAGAACGTATGCCTTGCAGCCCCAGACAAGGAGACCGGCAGCGTCAGGTTTCGTGCCTGACCAGAGTTCCGTGGGGGTGATGGCAGTGTGTTGAGGATGAGAGTGAAGGTTGAGGAGGAGGGCAGCATGGAGCAGAGCATAGCCCCAGAGGGAAGGAGGGGTGTAGGCGTGAGCGAGGAGGCAACGAGCGATTTTGGTGATTTCGCGAATGCGGCTTTTTGCGACACCATTCTGCTGCGGGGAGTGGGGAAGGGTGTGGGTCTGTTGGATGCCATGGGTGGCGCAGTAGTGGGAGAGGGTGCGGTTGAGGAATTCTCCGCCGCCGTCAGAGTGAAGGCGGCCGATGGGACGGTTGAAGTGGGCGCGGCATTGCTCTGCCCAGTGGGTGATCACAGTCGGTGCCTGGTCTTTCGTGTGGAGGAGGAAAATGGAGGAGTAGCGGTTGTGGTCGTCTACGAGGACCAGCATGTAGCGATGGCCCTGACGGGAGCGAGTGGGAGAGGGTCCCCAGAGGTCCATATGGACTAGGTCAATGGGAGCGGGAGCAAAGGATGGGTGGCTGTGGTGGGGAGACTGTTTGAGTTTGCCGTGGATGCAGGAGGGGCATGGAGGGGCTGGAGAGGAAGGGAGGGGAGGGAGAGTGGGAGGGAGGCTGTGAAGGAGGCGAGAGGTGATGGCAGTGCGGAGAGCGGCGAAATTGGGGTGGCCGAGTCGGTGATGTAGCAGTACAGCGGGGTGGGAGAGATGGTCGGAGGTGGAGGGGGTTGGAGTGAGTGAGGGTGGGAGAGGGGGAGGTGGCTGCTGCTGTTGCTGCTGCGGCGGCTGCCCTTGCTGCGGCGGCTGCTGGTGCTGCTGCTGCGGCCCCTGCTGTTGCCCCTGCGACGGCGGCTGCTGCTGCTGCGGCCCCTGCTGCTGCTCCTGCTGCGGCGGCTGCTGCTGCTGTCGCTGCTGCTGCTGCGGATGCTGCCCCTGCGGCGGCTGCTGTTGCTGCTGGTTGCTGCTGTTGCTGCTGCTGGGGTGGAGGTGAAGTAGGGGGATGGGAAGGGTGAGTGGAGGTGCCAGTACGAGTGGTGACATGGCAGAAGGATGGCCAAGGGGTGCGGAGAGTGTAGAGGCGAGTGCGGGGGCAGAGGGGAATGCGTAGAAGGAAGCGACCGGTGGCGGTGTGATAGAGGTCACAGTAGGTGGCATTACCTGGATAGACGGCAGTGATACTTGCATTCTGGAGTTCCCGATGGGAGAGGAGGTTGTTTCGGAGAGTGGGGATGTGGAGACCAGTTACCTTACCGGAGGGGAAGATTGTGCAGGGGAGAGTGGAGAGATGTGTGCATGGGATGGTGAAACTGCTGTCAGCACCGTGAACTTGAGTGGGAGGGGAGAGGGGTGTGAGTGTACCAGCATCCTTGAGAGCAGTCTCAGTGGCCCCACTATCAAGGACGAAGTCCAGAGTGGGTGGGGAGGAGGAGGAAGACACCGAGTACTGGAAAGTGGTTTCATTAATGGTGGAGGGGTACATGGAAGGAAGAGAGGGGGAAAGAGCAATGTTGCCAAGAAAACTTTCTTGGGTGAGGGGAGTGACAATACTACCAGGAGGAGGTGGGGCACCCCACAGGGGAGCAGGGGGGGTCTCAGCAGCTGTGGCTGCCGCGCTGAGGTTCAGCTGCTGCTGCTGCCAGGGGGGAGTGCTGGGTCCCCACTGGGGTGGGAGCCCGGGTCCCCATGGGGGCTGCTGCTGCTGCTGCTGTTGCTGCTGCGGTGGTTGCTGCTGGAACAGCTGCTGCTGCTGCTGTGGTTGCTGCTGGAACAGCTGCTGCTGCTGTTGCGGTTGCTGCAGAAGATGCTGCTGCTGAATATTGAGGAGCGGCGTGGGGGGAGCAAGGAGGCGGAGGTGGGTGGGGAGATAAGCAGGGTGGGTTTGGATGTCAGCAGGGGAGGGACGCGGGGAGACGGTACCCCAGCGGGGAGGTGTGCCAACATTGCCCCGTGCGTACCAGGCATCATCGAGAGCCTTGAAGCAAGTGGTAGGGGGATGGTTGGTTTGACCGCAGGGTGTCCCTGCCCGGGGACCGTAGCGACGGACATAGGTGCAGGGAGGGAGAGTGCCAGGGCAGGGTCCCCGGTTTCCAGAGGGACCGCCCTGACTGGGGGTGCCGTGCTCATCCCCAGTAGAGGCACCATGGTTGCTGGCGCTGCTGGTTTCTTGACCGCTGCCTCCCTTGCCCCCACTTCCCCCTTTGCCGTTGCGTTTGCCCTGCTTGCGGGGCTGGGTAGTGTTGAGAGAGGAGGAGGGAGGGTGGGAGGAGGCGAGGTTGACCATGGGGGTGCGAAGTTTGACTTCGGTATCAATGATCCACTGTTCAACAGAAGTGATATTGGCCATGGGATTGGCCTCGGTAAAGGCGTGAAGGCGGGATTCATAGTCTGGGGTGAGATTGAAGAGGAGGCGATGGATTTGGAGGGGTTCGGAGAGACCGGCTTGGCGGGCTTCAAGGCGATCAGCTACCTCTCGCATGCGGCCGACATAGTCTACTGCCCCGTCACAGGTGGCGAGGGTAATAGAAAAATACTCCTGGAAGAGGATTCCCACGGAGCTGATGTCGCGGCGTTCGAACATAGCATGGAGTTCTGCCCATATCACTGAGGCACGGAGTTCCCGGGCCTGGAAGCGGCGCATGAGGGAGTCGGGGAGAGCACCGAAGATGACAGTGCATGCGCAGTTGTCAGCGGCTGACCAGGCGATGAACTTAGGAGTGAAGGTAGTCATATCGTCGTTGTATTTGGCGACGACGGCGAGGTGAGCATTGCGGCCAGCAACGTCCTGGGCGTAGGCATCAGCTGCTGCATCGTACTCGGCTTTGCGGATGAGGTAGGCAAGGCGACGCATAATGAAGTCTGCATCTGCGGTGGCTTGGTCGGCGGCGGTCTGGAGCTCGGGCTCAAGGGGAGGGTCGCCAGGAGGGGGAGGGAGAGGAGGGGTCTTGCTGGGGTGGTCAGGTTCGGTGGGGGGGAGGGCATGGGGGCGGCGGAGGACGACGTCAAGGACGCGGTAGGGGGGGATCCATGCATTGGTGAGGACTCGTCGGATGCTGCCGACGAACGAGTACCAGTTAATGGCGGATTTGTCGGCTGCAAGCTGTAATTTGTCAATGGAGGAAGTATCGATAGGAGGAGGGAGGGGGGAGGGGGAGGGCATGGGGTTAGCCATGAGGGACGGCTGCAGGTGGACCCGCAGTGGTCACGAAAGCGCGCAGGTGGCGGCAGCTGGTGGGGCTGCTATGGCGCGGGTGCGGAAGCGGTGGGGAGGTGGAGGAATGGCGCAGGCAGCGGAGGTTGGCGCGGAGGTGGCTACGAGGCTGCGAAGCGGCGGGAGGTGGCGGCGGCTGGCGAGGCCGTGGCGGACGCAGGCGCAGAGGTGGTGCTGAGGCGGCGGAGGGGAGCTGCGCGGGTGGCGGCTGGTGGGGCCGCGGCGACGCGGTTGCGGAGGCGGCGTCGCGGCCGTGAAGGGGAGCAGCGCAGGCGGCAGCGGTTGGTGAGGCCGCGGCGACGCGGGCGTGGGGGCGACGAGGCCGCGGAGGGGGGCAGCGCGGGCGGCGGCGGTTGGCGAGGCCGCGGCGACGCGGGCGCGGAGGCGGCGGCGAGGCCGCGAGGGGGAGCTGCGCGGGCGGCGGCGGCTGACGAGGCCGCGACGTCGTGGGCGCGGAGGCGGTGTCGAGGCCGCGGAGGGGAGCGGCGCGGGCGGCGGCGGCTGGCGAGGCCGCGGTGATGTGGGCGCGGAGGCGGCGTCGAGGCCGTGTAGCGGCGCGAGTGGCGGCGGCTGGCGCGGCCGCGGCGTCGCGGGCGTGGAGGCGGCGGCGAGGCCGCGGAGGGGAGTTGCGCGGGCGGCGGCGGCTGGCGAGGCCGCGGCGTCGCGGGCGCGAAGGCGGCGTCGAGGCCGCGGAGGGGAGCTGCGCGGGCGGCGGCGGCTGGCGAGGCCGCGGCGTCGCGGGCGCGGAGGCGGCGTCGAGGCCGCGGAGGGGAGCGGCGCGGGCGGCGGCGGCTGACGAGGCCGCGGCGTCGCGGGCGCGGAGGCGGCGTCGAGGCCGCGGAGGGGAGCGGGGTGGCGGCGGCTGGCGAGGCCGCGGCGGACGCAGGCGCGGAGGCGGCGACGAGGCCGCGGAGGGGAGCAGCGCGGGCGGCGGCGGCTGACGAGGCCGGGGCGACGCGGGCGCGGAGGCGACGACGAGGTCGCGGGGGGAAGGCGCGGGCGACGACGGGCGCAAAGGCAGCAGCAAGGCTGCGAAAGAAGGGGAGCGCTAAGGGGGGAGGGGGAAGGTGGCAGAGGAGCCGGAGAAAAAAAAAAAAATGAAAGGGAGGAGGCCGGGGGTTGCGGTGGCCGGGTGGGCCTTTGGAACGATAGTAGGCCTAGGATAGTGTGCTCTATACCATGTGGGAAATGAGAGATAGAATAGAAGTTGTGTCTTGATTGAGAATGATGGGGGTATACATAGTTGGAGGTTGGATACTAGCCTTGGTTGGCATTATTGGACCCCAACCAAGAAGTTGAGTTGGGTGATTATTGGTGGGGTCCAATAATGTTGGCCAAGGTGGGGTTGGCCAACATTATTGGAGGGAGCCAATAATTCTACCCAACCCAACCTTTTGGTGTCCAATAATTGGACCAAGGTTGGGTTCCAACCTACAAACTGGGTTACCCCTGTTTGTACACCCAAACTAAGTTTGGGTGCTTATCTCTAGCCTATCCTATAGCATATATGCAGGTTACAAGAGGAGAGATATTCTAACAGGGAGGGGGATGCGGGAGGGGAGGGGTGAATAATTAAGGGGCGGATGGGACCCTCTGTCTGACGAGGCTAGAGAAGTGCCTTGTAGCGCCACGTGCGCTGCCGACGCTGGCGCGATGTCCTGAGGGGGTGTGGGGGAGCGAGGAGGAAGAGGGGGAAGATGGGTGGTTGCAGTTTTTCGCCACTACAGGAGGAGGTGAGGGCCGCGTGCACTGCTGATGCTGTCCTGTTGGGGGAGGGGGGTGGGGTTGGTGGGGTGGTTTGAAGGGAGGTGGATGCGGGAGGGGAGGGGAGAAGTATGAGGGAGCGAATGGCTTTAGCCTCTGTCGGAGGAGGCGAGGGACGTACGTGCCCTGCAATGCCTATATCCTGAGGGAGACGGGAGGGACGCGGGAGATGCGGGGAGGACGGGACAGGCACAGATAAGTCAAAGGATGGGATGGGAAGGGCCTCTGTCGGAGGAGGTGAGGGACGTACGTGCCCTGCAGTGCCACGTGCACTGCTGATGCTGACGCTACGTCCTGCGAGGGCGGAGCGAGGTAGGAGTGAGGGGACGACAGGACAGATAAACTACACAAAAGCTCAAAGGAAGAAACGAGCTCTCTGGCTTCAGCAGCTCTCACTTCAGCACTAACTAAAAGGGCTGACTTTTGAGTCGACTCAAAAGCCGCTCTCACTTCAGCACTAACTAAAAGGGAAGTACTCCTGTTTCGATTCTAACAAAACCCACCGAGTATTGCACGAAGCAGCATGTGTTGGTGACGCCTTGCCTCGTCAGCTTCATTTGGACGTAACCCGGTTGGCTGGGAGGGGGAGGTGGAAGGAGGTAGAATCACGCAGGGCGGAAGGGATATGGGGAGGGAAGTGCTGTGATGAAAAAGGCATTGGGGAGCAGGATCTAAGAAGGACGGAAAAACGCATTACCACGCAGGATGTACAATGGAGAAAGGAAGGGGAGGTGAAATCATGGAAGGTCCGTGAAGAAGCAGTGTCATGTCAATAAAGCAGCATCTCAATTGAAGGCAGGAGGCACGAGGAGGGGGGAGGAGGGAGGAGGGAAGAGAGAGGAAGGAGGAAAGAAGGAAGAGGGAGGGCGGAAGAGGAAGGAGAAGGCGGGAGGAAGGAGGCAAAAGAGAGGAGGGAGCTAGGAGGGAGAGAGGACGGAGAGGGGTGGAGGCGCTCACGTGCTGAAGACACAGAGGATCTCAGTTTCGTTCACAAACGGGCTGACATTGGCGATGTGAAGAGCGTTTGTCCCTTGTGTCAACAACTCAAAAGGGCAGAGAGAAGACGCGAAAGCAGGGATGGCAGAGCGGAGAGCAGAAGGGAAGAGCGACTCACGTGCCGAAGACGCTGAGGATCTCAGTTTCGTTGACGAATGGGCTGAGATTGCCGATGTAGAGCGTGTTGCAGGGCGGGTTGTCCTTATATACCTGAACGAATGGAAAAGAAAGAGCAGGAAGATATCTTGAGTTAGAATACGCCCTGAGCTTTCCAACTACAGTGACTATGCTTGCATGCAATAAGTACAGCAAAGGCTTTAAACTCGCTCACAACCCTGACCTGAACCTCGAACAGCAAATACCCACCTTGGAGGGGGTGTACGATGATGTAACAGTGCGCGTCATGACAATAGCAGAGCCTATAGCTGCACAAACCCCAACCCACCTTGGAGGATTTTTCAAGAGAAACCAACCTTGGAGGGAGTGTACAACGATGCTACAGTGCGTGGCATCACAGCAGACTTTTGAGACGTCTCAAAAGGCATCACAGCAGCAGGAGTGGATCCCGCAGCTGCACAACCCCCCTTCCCCCCCACTGCAAACCACAACCCATCCTGGAAGGTTTTTTCCCAGCCACCCACCTTGGAAGGAGTGTATGATGATGCAACGGTGCGTGGCATCACAGCAGCAGGTGCAGAGCCCACAGCTGCTGCAGCAAAGGCAGCCGCTGCAGCAGCACCGTAGGGATCATAGGAGGCCGCTCCGGGAACCACGTAGCTGCATGGGAGGAAAGGTGGAGAGTGGAGGGGGAAGAATTAGGAAGAAGTGGGGGGGGCTGCAAGATTTAGATGGAGCCCACAGCTGCTGCGGCAAAGGCAGCGGCTGCAGCAGCACCGTAGGGATCATACGAGGCCATTCCGGGAACCACGTAGCTGCATTGAAGACAACGGGAAATAGAGTAAACGAGGGGAAAAGGTTGGGATGGTAGTACAGGCGCTGGGGGGTACAGGCGCTGCAGCAGCGCTGTAGGGATCATACGAGGCCGCTCCAGGAACCACGTAGCTGCAAGAGAGGAAGGGAGGGGAGGGGGTTGAACTGGTAGTAAGACAGCAGGAGTGGAGCCCAACGCTACTGCAGCAAACGCGGCCGCCACAGCTGCACCATAGGGATCATAAGAAGCTGCTCCAGGAACCACGTAGCTGCCACGGGGAACGGGAGGGCAGGCGAAGAGGAAGCAGTAAGAGAGCCGGGGTGGAGGCTACAGCCGCTGCAGCTGCACCATAGGGATCGTAAGAAGCTGCTCAGGAACCACGTAGCTGCGAGGGAGCGGAGAGGATGAAAGGCTATTCCAAGGGTGCGGGAAACTGGATGACGTTAGCGTACTGCATTTTTCAATAAAAGGGCGTGATATCAATGTGAGGAAGGAATCCCAACATACAGCATGTCAGAACAGCAAAATCCACTGCTTAAGGTTTACGACTAGGCATGAACTAACCCAACGCTTACGAGGTCAAGGCGTCAGCCACACGGAGCCTCTTGGCAGGATCTTCGGCACCTGAGGAGGGCGGGAAGGTGGGGTGGGGGAGTGGAAGAAGAAAGAAGGAATCAGGAAGCCTCTTGGAAAAATACACTGCTCAAGATGCGAGGTCAAGGCGTCAGCGACTCGGAGCCTCTTGGCGGGGTCTTCAGCACCTGAGGAGAGCAGGAAGGTGGAATGGGGGAATACGGAGTGGGAGAAGGAGTATAATATCCAGTGGAGAATAAACCATGCAAGGGAAACGGAAAAAAAAAAAAAAAAAAAAAAAAAGTAAGAAAAGTTCGGACTCTCGGTGAGTGAGGTGAGGGAACGAGTTAAAACGTGGAAGGGTAAAAACATGCCACCCAACGTGAGCACGCACTTCATTAGGACTCTCTGGACTGTACCAAGAAGCGAATCTTGATCCCTGAAATGCAATCGGAGCAGGCCTCGTTCTTGCAACCGACACTTTCGTTTTTCGTCTTTGAGGAAGAGTACATTATAACATATGTACCTTTCTTTCTAAAGAGGTTCTTCTTGGCCATTTCTGCTCGGAGCACCGCATTGGACTCGACATCGAACAGCAGACCCTGCACACAAGAGAGAAAAGAGGAACCAGAAGTAAAAACACTTGCCTAACTGACTTTCCAAACATCTGTTTCTCAACGCACGAGAAAAATGACCTGCCAAACTGACGCGACTGGATCAAAAGCGATCAGAACTGACGCAATCGGTGCTGACGCGACCAGATCTGTTCTGATTTGGCCACGTCAGCCCAGCGACCGACCGACGGCCGTACCTGCAAGGCGTCGCGAGCGGCGAAGGCCATGGCTGACGTGGAGAAGAGCGCGAAGCCCATTGGCTGGTCGCCCTTGTACGACAGCTGGCACGACTCGTAGCCCGGCCACCAGCGCAGCAGGTTCTGCAGCTCGCGCTCCTTGGTGTCGGGCGGGAAACCCGTTATAAAAATCGTACGAACCTGGAACCATGTTAATATTTATAAAATCGGGAAATAGGTACAGATCGCGCTCCATTACGTTCGGCGGAAAGCCCGATAAAATATATAAAAATGCCGGTAAAAACGAATCAGCAAGTCAAAAGCGTCAATGCGAACTTTCAATCAGAGAGAGGGGAAAGAACATAGAGGCTAATGGTAAGAGAGGCATTGAGGCAATATTAACTGGACTTTGTGGGCGGACGAAAACAAACGGAGCGGATTAAAGCGCTAGTCGATTGGTGCGCATAGACTAATATGAAGAAAGTCATTCTTAAATGGCTACAGACGATTTTCGAGGCGCCTGAAAAAATAGATAAAAAATAATAATAATAATTACTCAGACGCTACAGGCGGAGGCTTACCACGTCTTCGCCTTCTACTGCGCCAGTTGGCCAACCTGCTAGTGACGTCATCGAGGCACTGACAGCGTACGTCAACAAATCGACAGTTCAGATTCAACAATAAACGGCCGTGATAGCGCTGTTGAGAAGCAAGTGAGGCAATGGCAAGGTAACCTTCGAGTCGACTGGCGGTAATGGGGCACTCAGCGTGATGGCATACGGAGCGGGAAACAGTGCGGCGGAAATTGCGGTCTAAGAGCCGCTCGGTCTGCTTCAGTCGAGTCTCTCTGGTCCTAATGTTGCTGGTCTGGGGTTTTGTAACTGTTATCGAGCTAGTCAGGGCTGGAAGAAAGGGCGTGACAATAATGGAATAGCCGGCAATACAAACAATGGTGGTGGGGAATAGATAATAGCGGGGTCTTGCAAGCGAGTTGACTTACTTTTGAGTAGCAGTATATTCTGACTTGCTTCGGCATATGAAATCTGCACTTTAGAGTTGGCTGGAGCATTGTTTTCTCATAACGGGTTTCGCTCCAAAAGGAAACTTCAGTTTTTTCTTATGCTTGTAAACATCTCAGCTTTTCCGCTTCAAGCAAGAACGACGGCTTCTACACTCCACTCGTCCCTACGCCTATAACGCGAACTGTGTACAATATTTCTGAATCCTGTCACTGCGTATCACTGATCCTTACCTCACCTTCCCTCGTTGACCATCCTCGCTCCTACGTCCATCCGCGCCGCGATCCACGCCACCTGTCTTGCTCGTCTCTGTCTGGTCGCCCGGCATCGCGTGCCGTCGCATCGCGTCGCGTGTCGTCGCGTGTCGCATCTCGTCGCCATGGATCTCGATCTGGAGGGAGTTCCCGAGGAGGATAAGGCGCGTCTCACGCAGATGATCGAGAACGCGCAGCGACGAGACGGGTGAGCCGAGACTTCTGGGAGGTGTGAAAACGTCTTAACCTCTGGTTCTCTCACGAGCACTACATATATCAGCATGCAGTGTGTCCTAAGCCCGCAGGTGAATGGTTCAGCGTGTGTAGAAGTTTGCTAAAACAAGTTGCGTTTGTCCAGGTTGCCTGATCCGATTTGCACCTCTCAGACAAAGAATCGGCTCGAAGGCTTCCTTCTGGTGCGGACCAAAGAACACCTAACTTCTTATGTCCCGTCCTGATCAGGTCCCAATCACGTCTCGATCAAGAATCTATCCAGCGTTGCTTCAAATGCCACCTGGGTTCCTTATTAGGTCACAGGTGTTCCCGCACTTGGCTTCTAAAGTTGAATCCCGTGTAAGAGCCGCATGAGGAACCTTCTGACACTTGGCCGATTTCACAACTCTAGGCATGCATTGTATTGAGCCTCACCTGAACCAGTACCCTTCAATTCAAGGTTCGAGTTGTATCAATGCCGAACCAGTCTGCCTCATTAAAAGGTTCAAGTTCTCGTAATGCTGGTGGATTGGTGCTTCCGGGAGTGCGTGGACAACTTTAGACGGTAGAATATTGAAGAACTGTTACGTGATTGAATACAATGTTTCTCCCCAAACAAACTCACCCCACGCTCTCCCCTCCCTGTTCCCCCCCAGTCTGCATCCCCCTTTCCCTTCCCTGACCACACACACCAGAACTCGTTTGTACAGCTTGTAGCTTGTTGGTGGAGCAGTGCTTCTGGGACTGCATTGACAATTTCAAACATATGATCCGGTGTCCTCTCAAAACCCTTCCTACACCAGAGCTCATATGTACAACTCGTTGGTGGAACAGTGTTTCCAGGGCTGCGTGGAGAATTTTAAGCAGAAGACCCTGTATCAGGTCTCAGGTCTGCTCATCACTGCTCTCCACCCCAACCCTATTTCCCCTCCAGAGCTCGCATGTACAACTCACTGGTGGAGTGGTGCTTTCGAGACTTCGTGGACAATTTCAGGCAGGAAGACTTAATATAGTCTCTGCATTCTCTCTCCCTGTCCCCCACCCACCCACCCCTTTCCGCCCAACACGACCAGAGCTCGCATGTACAACTCACCGGTGGAGCTGTGCTTTAGGGACTGCGATGACAATTTCAGGCGGAAGACTCTAGATAAGGTCTCAGGACTTCTCATCACTGCTCCCCACCCCAACCCTATTTCCACACCAGAGCTCGCATGTACAACTCATTGGTGGAGCGGTGCTTCCGGGACTGCGTGGACAATTTCAGGCGGAAGACCCTTGATAAGACGGAGGAGCAGTGTGTGAAGCGGTGCGGCGAGAAGTTTCTGAACCACTTTGCGAGAGTCGGCATGCGCTTTGCCGAGCTGCAATCAGGAGCCTCCAGTGAATGAAAACAGTTTTGTCAAATGTATACATATTCATTCGTAAATGCAGTCGGTCATACGATAGCATGTCTCTGTTTTTATGGTAGTGAAGATGACAAACAGTACTGTAGCACCTAGACTCCATAACAAGGAGGAGCAATGTGTAAAGCAGTGTGGTGAGGGAATAAATTCTAAACCACATAGCGAGCTCCAATCAGGAGCTCCTCCTGGTGATCCTGTTAGCCTGTTGATGAAGTGTTATTGAATTAGGCTTTAGCGTTTTTATTGCGGGTGTTTTTGTGGCTGAGGGTGATAGCGCATCTTCTGTTGTCGAGCAAATTTTCCCAAGCGATGGTGCTAGAGATTCTTACGAGTGGCATCACATGCATTTCTCCATAGCCACGCCGTTTCTCAAGCTCACGCCCAATTCTCGACAATGCGCCTCGACCTCACGCCCATTTCTCGCCCATTGCTGACGGATACTTAGGTGTAGAGAGTTACACAATGGAGTCCGGCATTAGTCTGATTACCAGCACATTGTGTCGTCATCTTGATCCCCGCATGAGCATGTTATGGAGGCTTTAGACGGGCCGTTGTTGTTTCGTGTGGCGGAAGCTACCGGCGAGGCTGTTACCACCATCGCGAACATCGCTTCCGTATCCCGCGCCTTCGCCCGTGTCGCCCGCTCGGAGCTATGGCTGCGTTACTGTCTCGCGCGCGTCGCGCTTGCGGAAGACGGCGAGGCGGCGGCGGTGGCGGCGGTGGCGGCGCGCCTGGTGCGCGAGGCAGGAAGCGCCGATGCGCCGCGAAACGCGGCGAGCATCCTGGCGCGCTGCATGAGTGCGTGCCCGGGCGTGGTACCCGCGCGCTCCAACGCGCTGCGAGTGGAAGCCGAGCCATGGGGTCGCTGGTCCGGGGAATTCTCAACGGAGTTCTGCAGCGATACGGAGGAGGAAAGCGGCGCAGTCGGGGGAAGTGTGGGTGTGGGATGCGGCAAGGTACATGACGATGCATTGGAGGAGAGCGGCGTCAATCCTCACGTCAGCGATTCCTGTGCCCTCTCCTGCGCCCTCGCCACTCGGCTCTTTCTGGACGAATGCTTCCTCCCCGCCCCTTTCTGCCCATCGCCGCTCTTTTTGGGCGAGGTGGAAGAAGACGAAAAGCGGAAAGCTAGGGGGGAAGATAAGGGGGAAGGGGACGAAAGGGGGAAAGCTAGGGAGGAAGTTAGGGAGGAAGGAGCGCAGGAGGGCGCGGCTGTGTTGATGGCAGCAGGGGACTGTGGGCAGGAGCACGAGGCAAAGGCTGAGGATGAGGAGGAGGAGGAGGAGGAGGAGGAGCGTTGTGAGGTGGTGCGGGGAGCGATTGCTGGGTTCAAGCATTCTCGGTAAGCCATGGCGATGTTGTTAGGACGAGTGTGAGGGTGTGGTCTCACCAGTGGGATGGGCCCACAGTGTAACGCCTGCTTTGTGCACAGTCAAAACGTAGGTACATGTTTGTGTCTCATACCATACCTCTCTCCCAATGCCTGGCTGCAGTTTTCACAGCCTGCTGCAAGGCCAGGCGTTTGCTCCAAGCGCATGCCCCTTCTGCCATGACCAGGTGAGGTTGTTTGAACTTAGCTGTGTTGTGCCATCTTATGAAAGCACAGTGCTGTTTTTCCTTTGCTATTGGAATGGAGTGTTGGTTGTTCATGCATGTCAGGTGTTTCAAGCATGGGTGGTTGAATGATTTTGAACACCAGCTTTCCTGCAGGACGGCACACAGGATGTGCCAACTTTCCCTGTAGCCCTCCCGCACCTGTGGTGTTATGTCATCTTGAGCAGGCATGGAGTGCCACTGCTCTGCTGAAACCGACGGCTCACAGTGCGTTGGGTTGCGATAAGGGAGATGCATTCTGCTTCATCTGCACCCAGGTCTGCTTCATCTTCATCTGCCTCAGCCTCCTGTTTCATAACTCACACTTTTCCAGCCACCTTTGACATAATTTGTTTCAATGCAATGCATAACCTCGTCATGGCTTACTTGGCAGGGTCACCTGTTTGGACTGTACAAAGCACCGTGCTCGGACTATTCTGATGAAGACAACAATTATGATGATTGGTATGATGACTACGACCGTTGGTCGGATGAGGTTGATGACTTGGATGATAGAATGGACCGTCTTGGTTTGGTGCAGGATGAGCGATGGGCTTTTTGACAGCACTTGTACATACAGTAAGATGGTGGACAGGTAGTCAGATATCATCGTAACTGATGCTGATTTTTAGCGTGATGTGTGTTAGGTACCAGTACATACCGGTAAGGTTAATCCACAAAGAAGATGGGTGTGTTAATATCAGCCAAGACAGTATCTGGGAGATTAAGATGTAATTAATATTTCACCCATTTGCTTCTGGATTGAACCACTTTTAACTCCTAAAGAGCAGCCACAGCAGCCGCCCTGAGCTCTCTTGCGGGCCTCTGCCAGCTCTGGCTACCCCTGGCTTTCCTGTTCAGCCAACTCAACCGCATTCAAACGTACATTAACCCATCCAACTCCTAACGAGCTGCCACGAGCTTTCGCTGAGCCTCAATCAGGACAACTGAGTTTACGGATGGACAGTGGTTCAGTTAGGCTTTAGCGTTTTATTGCGGGTATTTATGTTGGTAATAACGCGTCTGCTGTTGTTGAGCGCATCTAGTATGTGATGCTCTTCAGGATTTCTGACGAGTGGCACGCCATGCATTTCCCCGTAACCATGCCCGTTTCTCGAGCTCACGCCCTCTTCTCGATCACGCGCCTCGACCTCACGCCCATTTCTCGCCGTCGACGGAGAAATTAAAACGAATTCCTAGTTCTAGAGAGGCTCTTGAATGGAGTTCCACATTAGTCTGATTACGTCTAGGTCCAGCACTTTGTTTCGTCGTCTTGATATCTTTCAAGCCGCATTATGCAATGGAGGCTTTAGACGGGCTGGTGTTGTTTCGTGTGGCGGACGCTACCACCGATGCGGTTACCACCATCGCCAACATCGCCTCCGTCTCCCGCGCCTTCGCTCGCGTCGCCCGCGCGGAGCTATGGCCGCGTTACTGCCTCGCGCGCGCCGCGCTTGCGGAAGACGGCGAGGCGGCGGCGGTAGCGGCGGTGGCGGCGCGCTTGGTGCGCGAGGCGGCCAGCGCCGATGCCCCGCGAAACGCGGCGAGCAGCCTAGCGCGCTGCATGAGTACGTGCCCGGGCGTGATACGCGCGTGCTCCATCGCTCTGCGAGTGCACGGGGGAAGTGAGGATCCATTGGAGGAGAGCGGCAGCCACTTCTCCATTGATTATCACATTAGCGACTCCTCTGCCCTCTCCTCCGCCCTCGCCACTCAGCTTTTTGAGGACGAGTGCTTCCTCCCCGCCCCTCCTTCCCGCTCGTCGCCTCGTCCTCCTCCTTGCACCCCGAGCCGCTCCTCTTCCCACCGCTCTTCCAACCACAAGCTCCACCGCTCTTCCCGCCACTCTAACACCTCCCACCCCTTCCTGCCTCCATGCCCCTCGCCGGGGGATGACAGGAGTGTGGGTGAAGTGGACAGGGGAAAAAAGAGGAAAGAAAGAGAGGAAGATGGGGGGAAAGGGGCGCAGGAGGGCGCGGCTGTGTTGATGGCAGCCGGGGGCTGTGGGCGGGAGCATGGGGGTGAGGGCGAGCGTTTTGAGACGTCTCTAAACCAGGAGGGCGCGGCGGTGTTGATGGCAGCAGGGGGCTGTGGGGACGAGCATGAGGATGATGATGAGGGCAAGGCTTGTCATGTGGTGCGGGGAGCAATTGCTGGGTTTAAGAATTCACAGTAAGTCTTTTGAGGCAACTTAGATGGGCCCACAGGCACCTGTGGGCTGCGGACAGGAGCATGGGGCTGAGGCTGAGCATTGCTGGGTTCAAGCACTCGCGGTAAGCCATGGTGGTGGTGTTGGGTGGATGGGTGGTTGTTGCACTGGTGGCTGGTACGGGTTTGAGGGAATGATTTACGAGACTCCTCGAAACTTCTAGTACTGCCTCCCTTTTACTCTGAGCCAAGAATTTGGTGGCTGGCACTGGTGTGAGGGTATGGGCTCACCAGTGGGATAGCCCACAGTGTAACACCTGTTTTGTGCACAGTCAAAATGTAGGCGTATGTTGTGTCTCATACTGTACCTCTCTCCCAATGCTTGATTGCAGATTTCACTGGATGCTGCAAGGACATCAATTTGCTACAAGCACATGCCCCTTCTGCCATGACCAGGTGAGATGGTTAGCAGCCGTGTTGTGCCTTAAGTCGACCCAAAACACTATTCAAGGCCGTTAGCTCCAAGCACATGCCCCTTCTGCCATGACGGGGTGAGATGGTTAGCAGCTGGGGGAGACCTCTTTTGCAGGATGCGTTTTAAAGGGAGTGTTAATTATTGAAGTATTTCATGTGTTCAAACATAGGTTGCGATGTAATTTTAAGCACCAGCTTTTCTGCTGAACATGGGAGCTCGAGCCTATTAGGTACCCCACCCTCACCCGTGTGCCATCCTGCAGGCCTGGAGCGCCACTGCTCTGCTGAAACCGACGGCTCACATTGCGTTGGCTTGCGATGAGGGCGATGCCTGCTGCTTCATCTGCACCCAGGTTGTTCCTCAGCCTCGAGTTGGGTTGTTCCGCTTTGCAACCACCAGTTCCATAGCTTGCACTTTTCCTTGTTTGCCAGCCACCTTCGATATAATTTGTTTTGATGCACCGTACAACTTCTCCATGTCCCGCAGGGTCACTTGTTTTGGCTGTACAAGTCATCACGCATGGGCTATTCTGATGACGAATGGTGGGATGACCTTTCGCCAGATGAAAGGGATGACATATTGGATCATATGGCCTGGTCCTTGTCAAACATATGTGTATATATGTTATAGTTTGGTTAGGCTTAGTGGGGTACTCACTGTGGGGTACAACCCCTTAGGTTTCTCCTTTGTATCTTTCCCCTCGATAGTTGACACCCAACTTTTCCCGTAAGATTCTAACATGGTATAGAGCATAGGTCCTTAGGACCTAGGATTAGGGCCCACCACGATTGCCTGTCTTACCTAGTACCTACGCGCGCCTCGACTGCCCGCGCGCGCCTCGGGCGGTTCTTTTTTTTTTTTCCCACGTGCGCCGTCTCAGCAGCCCGCGTAGCCCGTTTCGGCCCCGCCTGTGCGCCCCTTAAGCCGCCCGTGCGAAACCTGCTTAGGCCACGCCAGCGCGGCCCGTCGCTCAGCGTAGCCCGTAGCTTCGCGACCAGCCCGCAGCGGCGCACGTGCGGCCCGTCGCCCAGCGCAGCCCGCAGCCGCACGTAGAATGCAGCCGCGCACGCTGCCTGTAGCCACGCACAGCCCGCAGCTGCAAGCAGCCCGCAGCTCGCGCAGTCCGTCGCCGCACGTAGCCTGCGGCCGCGCGCGCTGCCCGTAGCCACGCGCAGCCTGCAGCCTCGTGCAGCAAGCCGCCACACGCAGCCCTCAGGCCGCTCCTGCCTGCTGCCTGCTGCCGCCTGCCTGCTGCTTGCTGCCTGCTGCCTGCCTGCTGCTTGCTGCCTGCTGCCGCCTGTCTGCTTGCTGCCTGCTACCACCTGCCTGCTGCCTGCCTACTGCCGCCTGCCTGCTTACTGCCTGCAGCCTGCCTGCCTGCCTGCTTGCTGCCTGCTGCCGCCTGCCTGCAGCCTGCCTGCCTGCTGCCGCCTGCCTGCCTGCTGCTTGCTGCCTACAGCCTGCCTGCCTGCCTGCTTGCCGCCTGCCTGCCGCCTGCCTGCAGCCTGCCTGCTGCCTGCCTGCTGCCGCCTGCCTGCTTACTGCCTGCAGCCTGCCTGCCTGCCTGCTTGCTGCCTGCTGCCGCCTGCCTGCAGCCTGCCTGCCTGCTGCCGCCTGCCTGCTTGCTGCCTGCAGCCTACCTGCCTGCCTGCTTGCTGCCTACTGCCGCCTGCCTGCAACCTGCCTGCTGCCTGCCTGCTGCCTGCCTGCTGCCTGCCTGCTACTTGCTGCCTGCTGCCGCCTGCCTGCTTGCTGCCTGCTGCCGCCTGCCTGCCGCCTGCCTGCCTGCCTGCTTGCTGCCTGCTGCCGCCTGCCTGCAGCTTGCCTGCTGCCTGCCTGCTTGCTGCCCCTGCCTCCTGCCTCTGCCTCCTGCCTCCTACTTGGTGCCTGCTGCCTCTGCCTGCTGCCTGCTGCCTCCTGCCTCCTGCCTTAGGCCAATATGGCGACGCCTAACGTTCTAGCGTTCGAGTCTGACGGTCGTCCCATCGAGTTCACTGTATGGTTAGACGATCTCCAGCTGTTCCTTCTGACTGATGCCAAAGATGGCGTTTCCTTGTTTGATTACGTCTCTGGCACTGCCGTTGCTCCTGCTGCTGATGCTCCTGCTCTAGAACGCTCCCAGTGGCAGACTCGTGATGCTGCTGCACGCCTAGCTATTAGGAACCACCTGCCGATTACTGAGCGAGCGCATTTCAGCCAGCACAGAACTGCTAAGACACTGTACGACGCTGTAGTTGCACGCTACTCCTCCCCGGCCACTGCAGCCATAGGTCGACTCATGCTACCGTACCTGTTCCCCGATCTTTCCTCGTTCACCACTGCTGAGGACCTAGTTTCTCACCTGCGCGCTACTGACTCTCGCTTTCGTGCCGCCCTTTCAACCGAGTTCTGCGCAGCAAACCCCCCCCCCCCCCCCGATGTACTTCACTCTCTATTTCCTCGTTACCCGCCTCCCTGACACTCTTAGCTCTGTCAGGGACCACTTCCTAGCGCTAGACCCCACCACTCTCACTGTAGACGACTTCGAGAAGCACCTCCTCGCAGTAGAGAAGAACATCCTCGCTGTAGGTGCTGCTCGTGGCACTCCTCGCTCTCCCCTCTTTGAGGGGTGCTCCCCCTCTCCTCTCACCCCCTCCTACGCCTCCGCAGCTGCTGCTCACGACTACCTTGGTGCTGAGGGGGTCGGAGCTGCTTCTGCTCCTAGTGGGAAGCGTCGCAGCGGCAGGGGCTGCAGGGGTGGCAGGGGCGGTGGGGGTGGAGGTGGTGGAGGTGGTGGAGGTTGTGGAGGTGGAGGCGGTGGTGGGGGTGGTCGTCGGGGTGGAGGCGGTGGAGGTGGTGGTGGGGGCGGCGGAGGCACTGGGAGCGGTGGAGGCGGCAGCAGCGGAGGTGGGGGAGGAGGGAGCGGTGGTGGCAGTGGTGGTCAGGGCCAGCAGCAGCCGCAGCAGCAGCAGCAGCCGCAGCAGCAGCAGCAGCATCAGCGTCAGCGCCAGACCCCCACTTCCCAGCAGCTTCTTGACTGGTATGCCGGGCGTGGGGCTTCTGGGGGTCCTGGTCGCTGCCCTTATATCATCTGCACAGGTCCCCGCGCTGGTCGCCAGTGCACAGGTTTTCACACTGAGCAGCGCTGCTTCGCTCGGCTTAGCGACGCCTGGCGCGCCAAGTTTCCTGATGCTACTGAGTTCCCCAACTGGGCAGACTTACTTAGGCGTGATGTACCTATCTTTGATCTTGACTATGAGGCAATTCTTGCTGCTATGTATGCCTTGTCTGTTAGTGCTGAGGGTGACTGCTACTTGCGTGTGCCGCCGGATCCTGGTATAACCCCTGGTATAGCCCCTGCAGCACTAGGTGCTTGTGAGTCTGCTCCCCTTGGTACTGCGCTTGCACAGGCTTTGCACACCTTTACACTTGACTCTGGTGCTTCCCGCTGTTTCTTTCGCGACAGTACCACAGTCACTCCCCTCCCTGCACTTGTTCCTGTCTCACTGGCTGACCCCTCTGGGGGCCCAGTGCTTGCACGGTCTTCCACTGTGCTTCCGTGTCCGGCGGTCCCGTCTGGTGAGCTGTCTGGTCTCCACCTCCCCTCGTTCTCTACGAACTTGGTGAGTAACGCTGTCCTCCAGGATGCGGGGGTTGACACCTTCACCCCTGGCCGGCAGCGTGTGGCGATTTGCACGTGCTCCCAGACTGGTCGCCACCTGGCCACGTTCGCTCGTGCGCCGGGGTCCAGTCTGTACACCCTCACCACTGCGTCACGCTCCGCCCCTTTGTCTCCCCAGTTGCACGCGTCTGCTCAGGTAGCTACACAGTGTGAGTGTCGCCGGCTGTCGCACGACACTCTCCTGTGGCACCACCGCCTTGGTCACCCCTCCCTGCCTCGCCTACGCAGCATGCACTCGCGCTTCCTGGTTTCTGGGCTTCCCAGGTCTCTGCCTCCCCTCCCTCCCTCGCCTGCGCCGCCCTGCATTCCCTGCGTCGAGGGGCGGCAGCGCGCCGCTCCTCACTCCTCCTCGTTCCCTCCCATAGAGGCTCCACTGCAGACTCTCCACCTGGACGTGTGGGGCCCAGCCCGCGTCCGTGGACAGGGCCACGAGCGGTACTTCCTGCTGGTTGTCGACGACTATACGCGCTACACCACGGTCTTCCCCTTGCAGCGCAAGGGGGATGTCCCTGCTGTTTTGATCCCCTGGATCCGCGCTACTCGTCTCCAGCTCCGCGAGCGGTTCCAGTCGGACTTTCCTGTCCTGCGTCTGCACTCTGACAGAGGTGGTGAGTTCTCCTCAGACCTCTTGGCAGCCTTCTGTGCGGAGCACGGCATCCGCCAGACTTTCACGCTTCCGGCCTCTCCGCAGCAGAATGGGGTTGCTGAGCGCCGCATTGGCTTAGTCATGGAGGTCGCTCGTACCTCCATGATCCATGCAGCTGCCCCCCATTTTCTGTGGCCTTTTGCGGTCCGGTACGCCACGTATCAGCTCAACCTTTGGCCCCGTGTCTCCTTGCCGGAGATCTCGCCCACACTGCTGTGGACGGGGAAGGTTGGCGACGCGTCGCGTTTCCAGGTCTGGGGTGCTCGTGCCTTTGTCCGAGATACCACCGCGGACAAGCTCTCCCCTCGCGCCATTCCTTGCGTCTTCCTTGGCTTTGTCCCTGACGCGCCTGGCTGGCAGTTCTACGACCCCGCCTCGCGCCGTGTCTTTGCGTCTCAGGACGTCACCTTTGACGAGTCCGTCCCCTTTTACCGCCTCTTCCCCTACCGCACTGCTCCTCGCCCCCCCCCGCCGCTCTTTCTCGCCCCAGGTCCTCCCCAGGTAGACCCCCTCCCCGCGCCAGGTCCTGCTCCTTCAGGTGTCTCTCAGGTAGACCCCCCTGCGCCTGCGCCTGTTGAGGTCACTGGTGACTCCGGTCCTGCTGCGAGTGGTGCTGTCCCTGGGGGTGCGGAGCTTGGGGGTGCTGAGTCTGGGGGTGCTGAGCGTGTGGAGCCTGGAGGTGCTGAGCCTGCGTGTGAGGAGCCTGGAGGTGCTGCGTCTCGTGGTACTACGTCTGGAGGTGCTGCACCTGTGTGTGCGGAGCCTGGGGGTGCTGAGTCTGGGGGTGAGTCGCCTGAGGGTTCTGAGACTGCTGTTCCGCGGTCTCCTTGGAGTAGCCGTCTTCGTCTGCGTGTTCCCCTCACCTCCCAGCAGCTGCACGACTGGTACGGTCGCCGTCAGCGTCCCACTTCTGCACCTCAGGGCTCTCCTGCTGGAGGTTCTTCTGCTGGTGTCGCTGGTCCCGGAGGTGCTCGTACTGGGAGTGCTGGAGCTGCTGGGGCTGGTGGTGGTGCTACTGGCGGTGCTGGAGCTGCTGAGGGTACTGGAGCTGTTGGAGGTGCTGGAGGTGCTGGAGCTGCTGGAGGTGCTGGAGCTGCTGGAGGTGCTGGATCTGCTGGAGGTGCTGGAGGTGCTGGAGGTGTTGGAGGTGCTGGAGGTGCTGGAGGTGCTGGAGGTGCTGGAGGTGCTGGAGCTGCTTGGGGTGCTGGAGCTGCTGGAGGTACTGGCGCTGCTGGGGGGGCTGGTGCTACTCGTGCTGGTGGCACTGCTCAGCCGCGCCTGTTCTTTGCTCCGCCGTCTCCGTCGTCTCAGCCACCACCTGACTCTGCACTTCGCCAGGTTCTCTGTCTTCCCTCGTCTACTGGTCTTCCGTTACAGCCTGGCCCACCGCTGCCTGCTCCTTCTCCGTACACAGAGCAGCCTGGTGGCCTTGCAGAGCGTCGTGAGCCTGCGTCGCATCCTGTCTTCCCTGTCTGTACCGGTCGTCGTGTTCCTCGTCAGAGCCAGCCGGCTGTCTCCGGCCCTCCCCTTGTAGTTCGTCGTCCTTCCTCTCCTTCTCCGCGTGTTCCTCTGCCGCCTCCCCCTGCGTCCTCTCTGCCTGTCGTTGCTGACCCTGCGTCTGACCGGTTTCGTGCTGAGCACTCTACTGTCATGCGTCTGCTTGCCACTGTTGTCACTGACCCGTCGTTTGGGTCTGCTGCTGCGTCTGCCTTAGTCACTGAGCTTGTTGCCTTTGCTGCTCACTGTCGTCTAGACTACGCCGCCAGTCTTTTTGCTGAGTCTGCGTCTGTCTGTCCTCCGTCCGTCGGGGGTGAGTGTGCTCTTGGCACGGACGTCCTTGAGGACAGGCAGGAGGACCTTGAGTGTCTTGCAGCCGCTGCGCCTCATCTCGTATCCATGCTGCTTGCCCCTGAGGGAGACCCGGATGCACCAGACATCCCTACCCCGTGCTCTTACGCTGAGGCGATCGCGGGTGAGTACTCCTCTCAGTGGCAAACAGCCATGGATGCAGAGATGGCATCCTGGAAGTCCACAGGCACCTACGTCGACGAGGTTCCCCCTCCTGGGGCGAACATTGTCAGTGGCATGTGGATTTTCAGGGTGAAGCGGCCGCCAGGTTCTCCGCCTGTCTTCAAGGCTCGGTACATGGCTCGAGGCTTCAGTCAGCGAGAGGGAGTTGACTTCTTCCAGACCTTCTCCCCCACCCCGAAGATGACCACTCTTCGGGTGCTGCTGCACGTTGCCGCTCAGCGTGACTACGAGCTTCACTCTCTTGACTTCAGCACAACCTTCTTACAGGGCAGCCTGCACGAGGAGATTTGGCTGCGGCGCCCTCCTGGCTTCACTGGGTCGTTCCCTCCTGGTACCCAGTGGAGCCTCCGGCGGCCGGTCTACGGTCTCCGCCAGGCGCCACGTGAGTGGCACGACACACTGAGGACGACACTTGCGGCTCTTGGGTTTGCTCCATCGACTGCTGACTCGTCGCTGTTTTTGCGCACCGACACTTCGCTGCCGCCGTTCTACGTTCTGGTGTACGTCGACGACTTGGTCTTTGCCACTGCTGACACTGAGGCTCTCGCCTTGGTGAAGTCGGAGCTGCAGAAGAGACACACGTGCACAGACCTGGGTGAACTGCGCAGCTACCTTGGCTTGCAGATCACCCGGGACAGAGCACGCCGCACCACCACACTGACTCAGTCACACATGGTGCAGCAGGTCCTTCAGCGCTTCGGTTTCACCTGGTCCTCAGCACAGGCCACTCCTCTGGCTACAGGTCACTCGCTCTCAGCTCCACCTTCGGACGAGTCCGTAGAGCCGAGTGGTCCTTACCCAGAGTTAGTGGGCTGCCTCATGTACCTGATGACTTGCACTCGTCCTGACCTTGCGTACCCTCTTGGCCTTCTGGCTCGCTACGTGGCTCCTGGTCGGCACCGAAAGGTGCACATGGATGCTGCCAAGAGGGTACTACGCTACTTGTGCAGTACATCGGGCATGGGGCTCGTGCTTGGAGGACGGGGTGACGTTGTCCTCACAGGTCACTCGGACGCCTCTTGGGTTGACGACCAGGCTACGCAGCGGTCGTCACAGGGTTACACCTTCAGCCTTGGTTCTGGTTCAGTTTCCTGGCGTTCTACACGTTCGTCTTCAGTTCTCGGCTCCAGCTGTGAGGCAGAGATCTACGCCACAGCCATGGCTGCACAGGAGCTGCGCTGGCTCACCTACCTGCTGACCGACTTGGGAGAGAGGCCTCGTTCTCCTCCAGTTCTGTACGTCGACAACAAGGCAGCCATTGCCTTGTGTCAGGAGCACAAACTGGAGCACAGAACAAAGCACATCGCTCTCCGTTACTTTCTTGCTCGAGAGCTGCAGCAGCGTGGCCAGCTTCGTCTTACCTACGTGGCCACTCGGGCCAACACTGCTGATATATTCACCAAGGCGCTTCCGCCTGGTGATCATCAGCGTTTCTGCACTTTGTTAGGCCTTGTGCCCACTCTTCCTCACTTGCTGTAGGCTTTGTTTGTACCATGATTTATATGTATTCCTGCATGCTTGTTCTTGTAGGTAGATATCACTGTACTGTTGTTGTTCCATATATATTTCTGCATGTGAACTGGCCTTGTGGCCTTCTTGCTTGTGCTCAGACTGCGTGGTGACGTTGTGATCCACCCTGAGCTTGCTTTGCACTTCCTGACTCGTCTTGTGACCCTCTGTTCTCCCCCACTTTGCCTATGGGGGTGTGTCAAACATATGTGTATATATGTTATAGTTTGGTTAGGCTTAGTGGGGTACTCACTGTGGGGTACAACCCCTTAGGTTTCTCCTTTGTATCTTTCCCCTCGATAGTCGACACCCAACTTTTCCCGTAAGATTCTAACAGTCCTTTGGTAGATGTTGATGATGACCATATGGTGGTCTCCCTAACAGGACTTGTACATAAGATGGTGCACAGGCCTTCAGAAATCATATCAGCGTAAGCAGACTGATTTTGTGCTGATAGTTGACGTGATTTGTGTTGGGTAGTATGTACCTAGTCTGTCTGGGCTGTTTTTCTCAATGCTACCATTTTCGTCGCGCAGATCAGATTTGATTTGAGGTGGTACTGTAATCCACTTCCACAAGGAAAACAGAACCATTCCTATCGTAGTTCTACAGTAATTAACCTGACTCATATTGAGCCCCTAGCAAGCAGCCGCAGCATCGGCAGCTCTGAGCTGCTCCCCACACCAGAGCACCCTTGCGTGCCTCTGCCTCTGGTGGCCCTGTTCGCCCTCAACCGCATTCAACCCTATCCAACTCCTAGCGAGCCACCACAGCAGCGAACCTGAGTTGCTGCTCCAGAGCACCCTTGCGTGCCTCCCCCTCTGCCAGCTCTGTTTAACCGCGCTCAACCCCATCCAACTCCTAGCGAGCAGCCACAGCAGCGGCCCTGAGCTGCTGCTCCAGAGCACCTTTGCGTGCCTCCGCCTCTGCCAGCTCTGTCTGGAGTGCACGGTGGTCCTCTAGCAGGGCAGCCTGTAAAGGGGCCGAACAATGTTGGGATGGTTGGAAGATGGGGGAATTGGGACTTGTGGTGGGGTTTGGGGGAGATGGACTGATATAGCACTTCGGAAATTTCAAAATCTGGGAGCACTGCAGAGTCACTTACCCTTTGCCTGTACCAGTACTCTCCATGTGCAAGTTTCAAGGCCCCCCACTCACCTTCACCACCAGCAGCTCTCGCTGAATCTCCCTTTTCCGCCCCCTCTGTGCTGCCACCCGCTCTTTCAGCTGCCCCACTGCTGCCTCTGCCTCTCTGCCTCCTCTGGTACCTCTGCTTCTCAACTCTCTACCCTTCCAGTGTTTACCTCTACGGTCTACCCCTCAAATCAGAACCATCACTCACCTTCACCACCAGCAACTCTCTCTGGATCTCCCTTTCCCTCCCTCTCTGTGCTGCCACTCGCTCTTTCAACTGCCTTCTAGTGTTTGTCTTGACCCCTCAAAACGGAACAGTCACTCACCTTCACCACCAGCAACTCTCTCTGGACCTCCCTTTTCCTCCCCCTCTGTGCTGCCACTCTCTCTTTCAACTGCCCCACCGCTGCCTCTGCTTTCCTCGTCTCCGCCTCCTCTGCGTCCACCTGCCTCTGCTGCTGCTGCAGCGCCGCTCTTGCCTCCTGGTGGCGGGGGGGGGAGGGGGGACGGCAGGCAGGGAACGAATTCAGTTCAGGTCAATTCTTGGTCCGCACACTGCTGTCAAATCTTCGCCTCCGCCTCCTCTGCGTCCACCTGCCTCTGCTGCTGCTGCAGCGCCGCTCTTGCCTCCTGTCCCGAGGGAAGAGAGGAGGGAGGGGGGAGGAAGGTGATGGGAATCGAGTGTGAGTCTGAGGCGCGAGGGGGCTACCACACCCACCAGCGTTGCCTCCTCCCATTCAGGAGTCAGGAGAGGGTTATCGACAGCCGAGACAGTTGAGTCGACTCCGTACCTCTTTCTGAATGCGCAGCACGGACACAAGGAATGGCAGAGGCAGCAGGGAGTACGCAGCAGCAGCGTCCATGGCCGAGGGGGAGAGGTGCGAGGGGGAGAGGTGCGAGGGGGAGAGGCGCGAGGGGGAGAGGCGCGATGGGGAGAGGTGCGAGGGGGAGAGGTGCGAGGGGGAGAGGCGCGAGGGGGAGAGGTGCGAGGGGGAGAGGTGCGAGGGGGAGAGGCGCGAGGGGGAGAGGTGCGAGGGGGAGAGGCGCGAGGGGGAGAGGCGCGAGGGGGAGAGGTGCGAGGGGGAGAGGTGCGAGGGGGAGAGGCGCGAGGGGGAGAGGTGCGAGGGGGAGAGGCGCGAGGGGGAGAGGCGCGAGGGGGAGAGGTGCGAGGGGGAGAGGTGCGAGGGGGAGAGGAGCGAGGGGGAGAGGTGCGAGGGGGAGAGGCGCGAGGGGGAGAGGTGCGAGGGGGAGAGGTGCGAGGGGGAGAGGTGCGAGGGGGAGAGGCGCGAGGGGGAGAGGCGCGAGGGGGAAAGGCGCGAGGGGGTTACCACACCCATCAGCGTCGCCACCTCCCAGTCAGCAAGGGGTAACCGATAGTGGTGACGGGACTCCATACCTCTTTCTGAATGCACAGGACGGAGACAAGGAAAGGCAGAGGTAGCAGCTTGCAGACTGCAGCAGCCTCCATGGCTGAAGGGGAGAGGCGCGATGGGGTTACCACACTCACCAGTGTTGTCTCCTCCCAGTCAGGTGGGCATATACAGCAGTGACAGTTGAGTTTTGAGTCGACTCAAAAGGGGTCACCACACCCACCAGCGTTGCCTCCTCTCAGTGAGGTGGGCACGTACAGCATTGACAGTTGAGTCGGCTTCTCACCTCTTTCTGAATGCGCAGCACGGAGACGAGGAAAGGAAGAGGCAGCAGAGAGCATGCATCGGCAGCAGAGAGCATGCATCGGCAGCGTCCATTGCTGAGGGGGAGAGGTGCGAGGGGGTAGCCACACCCACCAGCGTTGCCACCTCCCAGTCCTGACCCAGGAGGGAGTTACATGCAGACAACTGTGACTGAGAGTCGACTCCGTACCTCTTTCTGAATGCGCAGCACGGAGACGAGGAAAGGAAGAGGCAGCAGAGAGCAGGCAGCAGCAGCTTCCATAGCCGAGGGGGAGAGGCGTGAGGGGGATACCACTCCCACCAGCGTCGCCACTTCCCAGTGAGGAGGGCACATACAGCAGTGACAGTTGAGTTTTGAGTCGACTCAAAAGGTGTCACCAGCGTTGCCTCCTCAGTGAGGTGGGCACATACAGGGGTGACAGTTGAGTCGGCTTCTCACCTCTTTCTGAATGCGCAGGACGGAGACCAGGAATGGCAGAGGCAGTAGAGAGCACCCAGCAGCAGCAGCTTCCATGGCTGAGGGGGAGAGGCGGGAAGGGGTTACCACACCCACCAGCATTGCCACCTCCCAATCAGCCAATCCCGCACCAAAAGCTGTCAGGTTGGCGGTTACTGCCTGATGGGGCAAGGGGAGAGGTTGTGGTGTGGGGTGTGGCAGGTGAGAGAGGGGGGAGGAGGAAGAGAGTGGGATGTTAGTGTGAGTGGCACGTGTGGGTGTACGTGTAACTATGACAATGCGTGTCGACTTTTGAGTCGACTCAAAAGTCACCTCGTTACAAAGGCGTGTGTATGTGTAACTATGACAATGCGTGTCTATGAGTGTGTATCTTATCTCTGTGCGTGTGACTCTGTGTGTGTGTACCTGTGAGTGTGGGGGACTCAGCATTGAACATCAACCCATTGTGGGAGGGCCGCACATCAGCAGGGAGGGCAAACACCATATAATTCATTCCCTTCACTCCAGTATGACTGACTGTAACTGACTGACTGTCTGACTGATTGTGATTGTGCTTGTCTGTGGCTCACAGTGCTTAATTTTAACCTTAAGCAGCCCATCGTGGCACAGCCGGGCATCAGCAGGGAGGGCGCACACATTCTGTGACTGTGACTAGTGACTTGAGAGCGGGAAACAACACTTAATTCTTACCTTGAGCAGCCCATCGTGGGACGGCCGGGCATCAGCAGGGAGGGCAGAGACCAGGTGCTTCCACACCGCCACACTCTGTGTGTGTGGCTGTCGCTGCTCTACCTGACTGCAAAGGATTGTGCCGGTGCCGGTGCCGGTGCCTGTGTCTCACACTGGCCCCTCTCACCTTCAACAGCCCATCATGGGACGGCCGCGCATCAGCAGGGAGGGCAGAGACCAGGTGCTTCCACTCCGCCACACTCAGAGCCGGCTGGAAAGCCTGCGATTCAGCCTTGGAGGTTTCGTCCTCTGCTTCATTATTAGCAGGAGTACCAGCACTGATGTTCGAGAAGAGACGAGCGCCAGCACCAAGATTAGTGGCAGCAGCAGAGGCAGCGGGAGCAGCAGCAGCACCGTCAGAAGCAGCATCGGCGTGGAGTGTTGGAGGGGAGGAGAGGTGAAGGAGGTAGGCGTCGATGAGCGATGCTGCAGCCTGAAGGGGGGTAGGAGAGGGGGGAGAGAACAGGGAGATGTGGGAAAGAGACGAGGAGAAATGGGATAAATGGGAAGACATGGGATTAACTGGCGCGGGCAGTGAGGGGAGGAGAGGTGCAGGAGATAAGAGTTGATGAGCGCTGCTGCTGCTGCTGCTGCTGCTGCCTGCAGGGGGGTAGGAGAGGGGGAACAGGGACGGGACGAGGGAGAGATGGATAAACGAAAAAACCAAGATGACGTAAAGCGACCAGTGAGGGGAGGAGAGGTGGAGGAGTTAAGAACCTATGAGCTGCTACTGGTGCCTGTTAGTGGGGGGGTGGAAGAAGGGGGAGGGGACGAGGGATGGAAGGAGAGGGGAGGGAAGGGGAGGGGAAGGAGTAGGTAAAGGAATTGGTGGGCAGAGGTGGAGGAGGCACGCATCGATGAGAGATGCTGCTGCCTGCAAGTGTGGAGGAGAGGGGTCGAGGAAAAAAGGGAGCTGAGAGAAACAGGAGAGATTGGAGAAAAACAGGAGGAAAAGCACCTGAAGGGATGATTTACGAGGCGCATATAAAACCATCGCAACACTAGATGGCAATACCATCTTGTGTTTCAAAAAAAAAAAAAAAAAAAAAAAGGCACATGCAGAGCATGTGCGCGGTCAGGGAGAGTGGAGAGGTGCTCCTCGGATGCAAAGCCTCAGAACACCACCACTTTCTAAAAAAGGTAGCAGACAGCATCTCAGCACGGCCTGCAGAGCACACACCCTACCTGCAGGGCTTGTGCACGATCAGGCAGAGTGGAGAGGTGCTCCTCTGATGCAAAGCCGTGCAGCAGACCCTGATGGGGGGAGAGAGCAGGAGAGAGGAGCAGAGGTGAATGATCGGGACCATGATGCTAGGTAGATCAGGCAGAGTGGGGAGGTGCTTGTCGGATGCAAAGGCGTGCAGCATCCCCCATCCCACCTGCACCATCCCCCAGGCCCATCCCACCTGCACCATCCCCCATCCCACCTGCACCATCCCCCATCCCACCTGCACCATCCCCCATCCCACCTGCAGCATCCCCCATCCCACCGGCACCATCCCCCATCCCACCGGCACCATCCCCCATCCCACCTGCACCATCCCCCATCCCACCTGCACCATCCCCCATCCCACCTGCACCAGTTACCACCTCACCTGCACGTCACTCTGTCTCTAGCATGCATGAGCAGATCGTTTCAACAACGAGATACAAGCCCACAACCAGCCTTTCTGCTCCACCACCACCACAAACCGCGGCGGTATGTGCGATTCAAACCCAGAACCACCACATACCCAACGCGCAGCAGAGAAGGGTTTCGAACCGCAGCAAGCCGCGGTGACTTTTGAGTCGACTAAAAAAGTCACAATCAGCCTTTCTGCTCCACTACCACATACGAAACGCACAGTAGAGAAGGCTTTCGAATTGCAGCAAGCCGTGGGTCTCTGTAAGATATTTCAGGTAAATGTAGTGGGCGAGTTGCTTTGTAGAGCCCAGGAAAAAAGGGCAGAAAAACAGGACATAAAAACAGGACATAAAAACAGGACATAAAAACAGGACATAAAAACAGGACATAAAAACAGGACATAAAAACAGGACATAAAAACAGGACATAAAAACAGGACATAAAAACAGGACATAAAAACAGGACATAAAAACAGGACATAAAAACAGGACATAAAAACAGGACATAAAAACAGGACATAAAAACAGGACATAAAAACAGGACATAAAAACAGGACATAAAAACAGGACATAAAAACAGGACATAAAAACAGGGCATAAAAACAGGGCATAAAAACAGGGCATAAAAACAGGGCATAAAAACAGGGCATAAAAACAGGGCATAAAAACAGGGCATAAAAACAGGGCATAAAAACAGGGCATAAAAACCAGGGCATAAAACCAGGGCATAAAACCAGGGCATAAAACCAGGGCATAAAACCAGGGCATAAAACCAGGGCATAAAACCAGGGCATAAAACCAGGGCATAAAACCAGGGCATAAAACCAGGGCATAAAACCAGGGCATAAAACCAGGGCATAAAACCAGGGCATAAAACCAGGGCATAAAACCAGGGCATAAAACCAGGGCATAAAACCAGGGCATAAAACCAGGGCATAAAACCAGGGCATAAAACCAGGGCATAAAACCAGGGCATAAAACCAGGGCATAAAACCAGGGCATAAAACCAGGGCATAAAACCAGGGCATAAAACCAGGGCATAAAACCAGGACATAAAACCAGGACATAAAACCAGGACATAAAACCAGGACATAAAACCAGGACATAAAACCAGGACATAAAACCAGGACATAAAACCAGGACATAAAACCAGGACATAAAACCAGGACATAAAACCAGGACATAAAACCAGGACATAAAACCAGGACATAAAACCAGGACATAAAACCAGGACATAAAACCAGGACATAAAACCAGGACATAAAACCAGGACACAAAACCAGGACACAAAACCAGGACACAAAACCAGGACACAAAACCAGGACACAAAACCAGGACACAAAACCAGGACACAAAACCAGGACACAAAACCAGGACACAAAACCAGGACACAAAACCAGGACACAAAACCAGGACACAAAACCAGGACACAAAACCAGGACACAAAACCAGGACACAAAACCAGGACACAAAACCAGGACATAAAACCAGGACATAAAACCAGGACATAAAACCAGGACATAAAACCAGGACATAAAACCAGGACATAAAACCAGGACATAAAAAGAGGACATAAAAAGAGGACATAAAACCAGGACATAAAAAGAGGACATAAAAAGAGGACATAAAAAGAGGACATAAAAAGAGGACATAAAAAGAGGACATAAAAAGAGGACATAAAAAGAGGACATAAAAAGAGGACATAAAAAGAGGACATAAAAAGAGGACATAAAAAGAGGACATAAAAAGAGGACATAAAAAGAGGACATAAAAAGAGGACATAAAAAGAGGACATAAAAAGAGGACATAAAAAGAGGACATAAAAAGAGGACATAAAAAGAGGACATAAAAAGAGGACATAAAAAGAGGACATAAAAAGAGGACATAAAAAGAGGACATAACAACCCCTCTTTGAGAGGAGCAACCCGGGTTTGAACCGGGGACCTATCGATCTGCAGTCGATTGCTCTACCACTGAGCTATTGCTCCACTGGATTCTTTGGGGGAGATGGACTCATATAGCACTTCGGAAATTTCAAAATCTGGGAGCACTGCAGAGTCACTTACCCTTTGCCTGTACCAGTACTCTCCATGTGCAAGTTTCAAGGCCCCCCACTCACCTTCACCACCAGCAGCTCTCGCTGAATCTCCCTTTTCCGCCCCCTCTGTGCTGCCACCCGCTCTTTCAGCTGCCCCACTGCTGCCTCTGCCTCTCTGCCTCCTCTGGTACCTCTGCTTCTCAACTCTCTACCCTTCCAGTGTTTACCTCTACGGTCTACCCCTCAAATCAGAACCATCACTCACCTTCACCACCAGCAACTCTCTCTGGATCTCCCTTTCCCTCCCTCTCTGTGCTGCCACTCGCTCTTTCAACTGCCTTCTAGTGTTTGTCTTGACCCCTCAAAACGGAACAGTCACTCACCTTCACCACCAGCAACTCTCTCTGGACCTCCCTTTTCCTCCCCCTCTGTGCTGCCACTCTCTCTTTCAACTGCCCCACCGCTGCCTCTGCTTTCCTCGTCTCCGCCTCCTCTGCGTCCACCTGCCTCTGCTGCTGCTGCAGCGCCGCTCTTGCCTCCTGGTGGCGGGGGGGGGGAGGGGGGACGGCAGGCAGGGAACGAATTCAGTTCAGGTCAATTCTTGGTCCGCACACTGCTGTCAAATCTTCGCCTCCGCCTCCTCTGCGTCCACCTGCCTCTGCTGCTGCTGCAGCGCCGCTCTTGCCTCCTGTCCCGAGGGAAGAGAGGAGGGAGGGGGGAGGAAGGTGATGGGAATCGAGTGTGAGTCTGAGGCGCGAGGGGGCTACCACACCCACCAGCGTTGCCTCCTCCCATTCAGGAGTCAGGAGAGGGTTATCGACAGCCGAGACAGTTGAGTCGACTCCGTACCTCTTTCTGAATGCGCAGCACGGACACAAGGAATGGCAGAGGCAGCAGGGAGTACGCAGCAGCAGCGTCCATGGCCGAGGGGGAGAGGTGCGAGGGGGAGAGGTGCGAGGGGGAGAGGCGCGAGGGGGAGAGGCGCGATGGGGAGAGGTGCGAGGGGGAGAGGTGCGAGGGGGAGAGGCGCGAGGGGGAGAGGTGCGAGGGGGAGAGGTGCGAGGGGGAGAGGCGCGAGGGGGAGAGGTGCGAGGGGGAGAGGCGCGAGGGGGAGAGGCGCGAGGGGGAGAGGTGCGAGGGGGAGAGGTGCGAGGGGGAGAGGCGCGAGGGGGAGAGGTGCGAGGGGGAGAGGCGCGAGGGGGAGAGGCGCGAGGGGGAGAGGTGCGAGGGGGAGAGGTGCGAGGGGGAGAGGAGCGAGGGGGAGAGGTGCGAGGGGGAGAGGCGCGAGGGGGAGAGGTGCGAGGGGGAGAGGTGCGAGGGGGAGAGGTGCGAGGGGGAGAGGCGCGAGGGGGAGAGGCGCGAGGGGGAAAGGCGCGAGGGGGTTACCACACCCATCAGCGTCGCCACCTCCCAGTCAGCAAGGGGTAACCGATAGTGGTGACGGGACTCCATACCTCTTTCTGAATGCACAGGACGGAGACAAGGAAAGGCAGAGGTAGCAGCTTGCAGACTGCAGCAGCCTCCATGGCTGAAGGGGAGAGGCGCGATGGGGTTACCACACTCACCAGTGTTGTCTCCTCCCAGTCAGGTGGGCATATACAGCAGTGACAGTTGAGTTTTGAGTCGACTCAAAAGGGGTCACCACACCCACCAGCGTTGCCTCCTCTCAGTGAGGTGGGCACGTACAGCATTGACAGTTGAGTCGGCTTCTCACCTCTTTCTGAATGCGCAGCACGGAGACGAGGAAAGGAAGAGGCAGCAGAGAGCATGCATCGGCAGCAGAGAGCATGCATCGGCAGCGTCCATTGCTGAGGGGGAGAGGTGCGAGGGGGTAGCCACACCCACCAGCGTTGCCACCTCCCAGTCCTGACCCAGGAGGGAGTTACATGCAGACAACTGTGACTGAGAGTCGACTCCGTACCTCTTTCTGAATGCGCAGCACGGAGACGAGGAAAGGAAGAGGCAGCAGAGAGCAGGCAGCAGCAGCTTCCATAGCCGAGGGGGAGAGGCGTGAGGGGGATACCACTCCCACCAGCGTCGCCACTTCCCAGTGAGGAGGGCACATACAGCAGTGACAGTTGAGTTTTGAGTCGACTCAAAAGGTGTCACCAGCGTTTCCTCCTCAGTGAGGTGGGCACATACAGGGGTGACAGTTGAGTCGGCTTCTCACCTCTTTCTGAATGCGCAGGACGGAGACCAGGAATGGCAGAGGCAGTAGAGAGCACCCAGCAGCAGCAGCTTCCATGGCTGAGGGGGACAGGCGGGAAGGGGTTACCACACCCACCAGCATTGCCACCTCCCAATCAGCCAATCCCGCACCAAAAGCTGTCAGGTTGGCGGTTACTGCCTGATGGGGCAAGGGGAGAGGTTGTGGTGTGGGGTGTGGCAGGTGAGAGAGGGGGGAGGAGGAAGAGAGTGGGATGTTAGTGTGAGTGGCACGTGTGGGTGTACGTGTAACTATGACAATGCGTGTCGACTTTTGAGTCGACTCAAAAGTCACCTCGTTACAAAGGCGTGTGTATGTGTAACTATGACAATGCGTGTCTATGAGTGTGTATCTTATCTCTGTGCGTGTGACTCTGTGTGTGTGTACCTGTGAGTGTGGGGGACTCAGCATTGAACATCAACCCATTGTGGGAGGGCCGCACATCAGCAGGGAGGGCAAACACCATATAATTCATTCCCTTCACTCCAGTATGACTGACTGTAACTGACTGACTGTCTGACTGATTGTGATTGTGCTTGTCTGTGGCTCACAGTGCTTAATTTTAACCTTAAGCAGCCCATCGTGGCACAGCCGGGCATCAGCAGGGAGGGCGCACACATTCTGTGACTGTGACTAGTGACTTGAGAGCGGGAAACAACACTTAATTCTTACCTTGAGCAGCCCATCGTGGGACGGCCGGGCATCAGCAGGGAGGGCAGAGACCAGGTGCTTCCACACCGCCACACTCTGTGTGTGTGGCTGTCGCTGCTCTACCTGACTGCAAAGGATTGTGCCGGTGCCGGTGCCGGTGCCTGTGTCTCACACTGGCCCCTCTCACCTTCAACAGCCCATCATGGGACGGCCGCGCATCAGCAGGGAGGGCAGAGACCAGGTGCTTCCACTCCGCCACACTCAGAGCCGGCTGGAAAGCCTGCGATTCAGCCTTGGAGGTTTCGTCCTCTGCTTCATTATTAGCAGGAGTACCAGCACTGATGTTCGAGAAGAGACGAGCGCCAGCACCAAGATTAGTGGCAGCAGCAGAGGCAGCGGGAGCAGCAGCAGCACCGTCAGAAGCAGCATCGGCGTGGAGTGTTGGAGGGGAGGAGAGGTGAAGGAGGTAGGCGTCGATGAGCGATGCTGCAGCCTGAAGGGGGGTAGGAGAGGGGGGAGAGAACAGGGAGATGTGGGAAAGAGACGAGGAGAAATGGGATAAATGGGAAGACATGGGATTAACTGGCGCGGGCAGTGAGGGGAGGAGAGGTGCAGGAGATAAGAGTTGATGAGCGCTGCTGCTGCTGCTGCTGCTGCTGCCTGCAGGGGGGTAGGAGAGGGGGAACAGGGACGGGACGAGGGAGAGATGGATAAACGAAAAAACCAAGATGACGTAAAGCGACCAGTGAGGGGAGGAGAGGTGGAGGAGTTAAGAACCTATGAGCTGCTACTGGTGCCTGTTAGTGGGGGGGTGGAAGAAGGGGGAGGGGACGAGGGATGGAAGGAGAGGGGAGGGAAGGGGAGGGGAAGGAGTAGGTAAAGGAATTGGTGGGCAGAGGTGGAGGAGGCACGCATCGATGAGAGATGCTGCTGCCTGCAAGTGTGGAGGAGAGGGGTCGAGGAAAAAAGGGAGCTGAGAGAAACAGGAGAGATTGGAGAAAAACAGGAGGAAAAGCACCTGAAGGGATGATTTACGAGGCGCATATAAAACCATCGCAACACTAGATGGCAATACCATCTTGTGTTTCAAAAAAAAAAAAAAAAAAAAAAGGCACATGCAGAGCATGTGCGCGGTCAGGGAGAGTGGAGAGGTGCTCCTCGGATGCAAAGCCTCAGAACACCACCACTTTCTAAAAAAGGTAGCAGACAGCATCTCAGCACGGCCTGCAGAGCACACACCCTACCTGCAGGGCTTGTGCACGATCAGGCAGAGTGGAGAGGTGCTCCTCTGATGCAAAGCCGTGCAGCAGACCCTGATGGGGGGAGAGAGCAGGAGAGAGGAGCAGAGGTGAATGATCGGGACCATGATGCTAGGTAGATCAGGCAGAGTGGGGAGGTGCTTGTCGGATGCAAAGGCGTGCAGCATCCCCCATCCCACCTGCACCATCCCCCAGGCCCATCCCACCTGCACCATCCCCCATCCCACCTGCACCATCCCCCATCCCACCTGCACCATCCCCCATCCCACCTGCAGCATCCCCCATCCCACCGGCACCATCCCCCATCCCACCGGCACCATCCCCCATCCCACCTGCACCATCCCCCATCCCACCTGCACCATCCCCCATCCCACCTGCACCAGTTACCACCTCACCTGCACGTCACTCTGTCTCTAGCATGCATGAGCAGATCGTTTCAACAACGAGATACAAGCCCACAACCAGCCTTTCTGCTCCACCACCACCACAAACCGCGGCGGTATGTGCGATTCAAACCCAGAACCACCACATACCCAACGCGCAGCAGAGAAGGGTTTCGAACCGCAGCAAGCCGCGGTGACTTTTGAGTCGACTAAAAAAGTCACAATCAGCCTTTCTGCTCCACTACCACATACGAAACGCACAGTAGAGAAGGCTTTCGAATTGCAGCAAGCCGTGGGTCTCTGTAAGATATTTCAGGTAAATGTAGTGGGCGAGTTGCTTTGTAGAGCCCAGGAAAAAAGGGCAGAAAAACAGGACATAAAAACAGGACATAAAAACAGGACATAAAAACAGGACATAAAAACAGGACATAAAAACAGGACATAAAAACAGGACATAAAAACAGGACATAAAAACAGGACATAAAAACAGGACATAAAAACAGGACATAAAAACAGGACATAAAAACAGGACATAAAAACAGGACATAAAAACAGGACATAAAAACAGGACATAAAAACAGGACATAAAAACAGGACATAAAAACAGGACATAAAAACAGGACATAAAAACAGGGCATAAAAACAGGGCATAAAAACAGGGCATAAAAACAGGGCATAAAAACAGGGCATAAAAACAGGGCATAAAAACAGGGCATAAAAACAGGGCATAAAAACAGGGCATAAAAACAGGGCATAAAAACAGGGCATAAAACCAGGGCATAAAACCAGGGCATAAAACCAGGGCATAAAACCAGGGCATAAAACCAGGGCATAAAACCAGGGCATAAAACCAGGGCATAAAACCAGGGCATAAAACCAGGGCATAAAACCAGGGCATAAAACCAGGGCATAAAACCAGGGCATAAAACCAGGGCATAAAACCAGGGCATAAAACCAGGGCATAAAACCAGGGCATAAAACCAGGGCATAAAACCAGGGCATAAAACCAGGGCATAAAACCAGGGCATAAAACCAGGGCATAAAACCAGGGCATAAAACCAGGGCATAAAACCAGGGCATAAAACCAGGGCATAAAACCAGGGCATAAAACCAGGGCATAAAACCAGGGCATAAAACCAGGGCATAAAACCAGGGCATAAAACCAGGGCATAAAACCAGGACATAAAACCAGGACATAAAACCAGGACATAAAACCAGGACATAAAACCAGGACATAAAACCAGGACATAAAACCAGGACATAAAACCAGGACATAAAACCAGGACATAAAACCAGGACATAAAACCAGGACATAAAACCAGGACATAAAACCAGGACATAAAACCAGGACATAAAACCAGGACATAAAACCAGGACATAAAACCAGGACACAAAACCAGGACACAAAACCAGGACACAAAACCAGGACACAAAACCAGGACACAAAACCAGGACACAAAACCAGGACACAAAACCAGGACACAAAACCAGGACACAAAACCAGGACACAAAACCAGGACACAAAACCAGGACACAAAACCAGGACACAAAACCAGGACATAAAACCAGGACATAAAACCAGGACATAAAACCAGGACATAAAACCAGGACATAAAACCAGGACATAAAACCAGGACATAAAACCAGGACATAAAAAGAGGACATAAAAAGAGGACATAAAAAGAGGACATAAAAAGAGGACATAAAAAGAGGACATAAAAAGAGGACATAAAAAGAGGACATAAAAAGAGGACATAAAAAGAGGACATAAAAAGAGGACATAAAAAGAGGACATAAAAAGAGGACATAAAAAGAGGACATAAAAAGAGGACATAAAAGAGGACATAAAAAGAGGACATAAAAAGAGGACATAAAAAGAGGACATAAAAAGAGGACATAAAAAGAGGACATAAAAAGAGGACATAAAAAGAGGACATAAAAAGAGGACATAAAAAGAGGACATAAAAGAGGACATAAAAAGAGGACATAAAAAGAGGACATAAAAGAGGACATAAAAAGAGGACATAAAAAGAGGACATAAAAAGAGGACATAAAAAGAGGACATAAAAAGAGGACATAAAAAGAGGACATAAAAAGAGGACATAAAAAGAGGACATAAAAAGAGGACATAAAAAGAGGACATAAAAAGAGGACATAAAAACCCCTCTTTGAGAGGAGCAACCCGGGTTTGAACCGGGGACCTATCGATCTGCAGTCGATTGCTCTACCACTGAGCTATTGCTCCACTGGATTCTTCGGTCCAAGGAGGTAACTTAACCAATGACCTGCACCCGCACATAACTGATAATACCCGTCCACCCGCACATAACTGGGCCCTTGCTTGAGGAGATCGTCCAGAGATCCTTGTCCAATGCGTTAACCCCTTTGTACGACTCCCCAACCCACCTCCACCACTCCGTACCTGCGAGTCGCTGGTCTCTCCAGCATGAGCATATCTCCAACGATGCGGTTCATTCACCTGCCTGCACCACACCACAACACGTTCAACCCTTCTGCACCGATCCCTACCCCACCTGCACGTCGCTGGTCTCCAGCATGAGCAGATCCTCCAGAGATGCATCGGTGAAGAGTGCCCCTGCTCGACTGGGGGATGGGATAGGGTTGAGTGAACGACGGGAGATGATACGGGGGGTGGGAGAGGGAAAAGGGGAGGTTAGACTGGTTGGATGGGAGGGGAAGCATGAGCAGATCCTCCAGAGATGCATCGGAGAAGAGTGCCCCTGCTCGACTGGTGAATGGGGATGGGGTGGCGAGGGTGGGGCGAGACGGACAGGCAGGGGAGGTGACATGGGAAGGGAGGCATGACCACATCATCCTGAGATGCATCGGTGACAATCGCCCCTGCCCGGTTGTCGGGAGGGGAGCGGGAGGGTGAGAAAAAAAGAGATGAAATTGTTGGACGGGAGGGAGGACGAGGGGAAGCATGAGCAGATCGTCTAGAGATGCATCAGTGACGAGCGCCCCTGCTCGACTGGGGGAGAGGGAGAGGGGGTGATGGCATGGGGGATACAGTTTCGTTAGGGTGGGAGAGGGAGGGGAGGGGAAGCATGAGCAGATCGTCCAGCGATGCATCAATGAACAGCGCCCCTGCTCGGCTGGGGAAGAGGGAGGGAGAGGAAGACAGGAAGGCGCTGACTTGAACATGAACTCACCGCTGCAGGGTGGCCTCACTATAGCACAGCACAGCAGCCCCAGCAGCGGTTGCATTGGCAACACTGGCAGCAGCAGCAGGCAACACTGGCAGCAGCAGCAGGCAACACCCCACCTCCACCCAAACGCGTTCAACCCCTTCACACCGCTTACCACTCCGCCAGCGTTCACTCACCGCTGCAGGGTGGCTTTCACACCCTCAGAGGCGTTGAGCACTATGGCACAGCGCAGCAGTCCCAGCAGCGGCTGCATGGGAACGCTAGCAGCAGCAGTAGGCAACGCTGCTGTCAGCCCCTCCAGATCCTTCTAGGTGCTACACTTAAACCTCACTCACCGCTGCAGGGTGGCTTTGACCCCTTCACTTGCGTTGAGCACAATAGCACAACGCAGCAGCCCCAGCAGCGGCTGCATGGGCACACTGGCAGCAGCAGCAGGCAACGCTGCTGTCAGCCCCTCCAGAACCCGACGGTAGTGCGCGGGGGAGAGAGAGGAGGCGGAGGAAGAGGAGGTGGAAGAGGAGTGGGGAGGGGGAGGGTCGGAGTAAGAGAGGGAAGCGAGGGATTTCGGGTCGGGCAGGTTGTGCTGTGCATAGAAGGCGATTGCGCTGCCGATTTCCTTCTCGGGCAGATTCTTTTCCTGAAAGGAGGTAGGGTGGGGAGGAGGGATGGGAATTGGGAGGAACAGAGAAAGGAGGTGATGAGTCGGGAGACGTTGGTAGATGCGTAGCATGGTTGAGGTGCTTCAAGTACAAGGAACTCAGTTTCTAAGTATTCACAGTGTACTTAGGTTATGTATTCTAAGTTCCAGTGTTTGATAAAAGTGTACCTTGAACTTGGCCAGAAGGCGAAGGAAGATGTCGAGAGGCAGGAGAGCAATGCCGTCTGGAAAAAAAAAGGGAAAGAGAGCAGAAAATGTCGTTATACCCATTTAGATGGTAAGTTCTAGCTTCATGATTTGATACATAAGAGGGAAAAGTACGATGTGGGGAAGCAGAAGTTGTGGGGAAGGGAGAAGGAGGGTGTTTGAGCGAGCAAAGAGAAAATAACAAAGCCTTGCGCCCATAATTTGATTGATAAAAGATCACCACAGGAACAGATTTCAGAGTAGATGATTCAAATGAGAGCAAGCATGGACATGTACCACTGGTATGAATGGGTGTGGTGCAGAGGTTGTGACTGGAACCAGTGGGGCCGAGCAGACGGAGGGGAGGAAACATTTCAGACAAAGGGGAGGGGAAGGAAGGGGAGGGGGATGGGAGAGGAAGGGAGGGATGAAGCAGAGGAGGAAAGAAAGCACGTTAAGACAGAAGAGTATTAAAGGAGAAACATGTGATGTGAGGAGGGGAATCCAAACCCAGAAAACATCAGGAGGAGGAGATGCATAAAATCCATGAACGTTACCTGGTAACCGCATGCTTTGCCTAGTCATAGCATGACCTGGTTAAAGTAAGATATACATGCAATCTAATGGGGTTACCTGGTAACTGCATGGTCCGCCAGCCTGTCTGCTGCCTCATCCACGATTCCCAATGCGTCTGCTTCAGCCAGCAGACCAGCACAGCTGGGGGTGAGGGAGGGGAGATGGGAGTGGGTGGAGGAAACACGGAGAGAGTTAAAGACGTGAGTGGGTGGGAGGGAGTGTAGGCGGGCGGTAAGGGGCGTGCCTCGCCCACCATCCCCAGGCGTCTGCATAACCAGCAGGCTGGAACAGCTTGGAGAGAGCAGCAGCAGCAGCAGCATCGGCGTGTTTCAGAATGCCTGCCATGGCCCTTAAGACAAGCACTCATCCACCACCACTCATCCACCACCACTCATCCACCACCACTCATCCACCACCACTCATCCACCACCACTCATCCACCACCACTCATCCACCACCACTCATCCACCACCACTCACCCACCACCACTCACCCACCACCACTCACCCACCACCACTCATCCACCACCACTCATCCACCACCACTCACCCACAACCACTCACCCACCACCACTCACCCACCACCACTCACCCACCACCACTCACCCACTCAACACAGCCAGGGCAGCATCGGCGTGTTTGAGCATGCCTGCCATGGCAGCAGCAGCAACGAAGGAACTCACCTCTGCCCTTGCAATAAGAACTCCGTGTTCCCCTTTCCCTCTATTCTCCCCTCCCACACCCCCATTCTCACCCTCGCAGCACAGCCAGAGCAGCATCGGCATGTTTGAGCATGCCTGCCATGGCAGCAGCAGCAACGAAGGAACTCACCTCTGCCCTTGCAATAAGAACTCCGTGTTCCCCTTTCCCTCTATTCTCCCCTCCCACACCCCCATTCTCACCCTCGCAGCACAGCCAGAGCAGCATCGGCATGTTTGAGCATGCCTGCCATGGCAGCAGCAGCGAAGGATAGCAGATTCACACGGTACTTGCCCATGCCCTTTCGGGAATCGTCATTCATTCCAAGGAATGCGGCTGTGAGGGGAGAGCAGGAGGGGAAGCAAGGAAGAAGGGAGTGGGAGTGGGAAGCAAGGAAGGGAGTGGGGTGAATGAGGGGCTGAACGACAGCAGGTTCCCACGGCACTTGCCCATGCCCTTGCGCGAGTCGTCCGTCATTCCCAGGAACGCCACTGGTGGGTGAGAGGGGAGGGCGGAGGGACACAGATAGGAAAGTGAGGAAGGGAGTGGGGTGAGTGAGGGACAGAAGGACAATAGATTCCACGGTACTAGCTCATGTCTTTGGACGAGCCATCCATCATTCCAATGCGGCTGGAAGAGGGGAGGGAGCGAAGGGGAAGGCCGGGAAGAAAGAGAGGAAGCAGGTGCGGCGTGAGAGGGACATGTAAGGCCGCACCCACTTCCTCTCTTTCTTCTCGGCCTTCCCCTGTAGGGCCAGCAGGGTCACGCATTGCTTGCCCATTCCCTTGCGCGAGCCATTCGTCATCCCAAGGAAAGAGCCTGGGAGAGGAGGGAGGGAAGACGAGAGAGCAGGGGGAAGGGGGAAGGTAGGGAGAAAGTTTGGCTTGTTAATTGATCTACGTGTGTGCCAATGCCCTTGTGCGAGTCATCTGTGATATCCGAGGAATGCGGCTGGAGGGGAAAGGGAGAGAGGGAAACGAGGAGAAGGAGGAGAAGGGAAGGAAGGGAGTGGGGTGAGAGAGGGACGAAAGGACGGATGTCATTTGATAAAACGCGGCTGGAGAGAGGCGGGAGAGAGAACGAGACGAGGGGGACTACCATGGATAAATGGCAAGCTTCCCCACACTCACACACAGGCTCACTCCCCAATTCACATTCACTCTCACGCAAACTTTCTCTCACGCACAATCCCCTACTCTCACACTGACTCACCAGCACAAGCAGTGACACCTTGAACGGGGAGTCTCTAGATTATGTCTCAAACTTACCAGCACAGGCAAGAGCAGGAGCATCAAGTGGTGAAATCTTGAAATCCATGCCATAGCAGAAGCTGGCGACCTTTGGATGGAGGGGCAAAAGGGCGGCCGTGGGGGAGGGCATAGGAGGTGAGACGGGACAAGGGAGCGGGCAGGAGCATCAAATGGTGATATCTTGAAATCCATTCCGTAGCAAAAGCTGGCGACCTTTGGAGAGGGGAAAGGGGTGGGGTGAGGAGACAAGGGTGTGGAGGAGTGTGAATGGGTGTGGAGGGGCGTGGAAGGGTGTGGAGGTGTGTATGGAATGGCGCTGTATGTCTCACTCTCACTGCATGCATGCAAAGCAATGGCATGTGAGAGGTCAATAGTGACTTTGGGGTGGAGTAACATGTAGCATACTTAAAAGCATTGACTCATCCCAGTTTCCCACCAGCACCCACCAGCACCCACCAGCACCCACCAGCACCCTCCTGCTTGAACGCCCTCTGTCCTCCACGAAAGCCCGAGAGTGACGTTTGGACCCAACCAAATGCCTCGCTAACTGATATGTTAACTCATTTCCAATTCCTACCGGCACCCACCTGCTTGAACGCCCTTTCCCCTCCGGGTAAGCCCGAGATGTCGATGTGGTTGCGACCAGAATCAGGGTCCTCAGAGGAAGATTCCTGGAAAAAGTCACTGGTAGGCGGCGAGAGATCAAGGGAAGGGAGAGGAAGGGTCTGAGATTGTCTTTGAAAAAACAGATTAGAAGTGAACGTGGACAGGGGCTGAGGGGGAGAGGAGGGGAGGTTGAAGAGGAGAGAGTGGAGGGGACGAGACGAGGGAGGTGAGGTGATGGGTCAGAGGCGAGCAGAGAAGGGGGAAGAAACGAGGGGAAGAATGATGGGGGGGGGGGGGGTGGGAGGGGGAGTGGAGGGATCAAGGGGAGGTCGGGTGATGGGCTAGAGGAGAGCGGGTATGGGGAGACGGGAAGGGGAGAAGTTGAAGATGTAGTAGTTAACTCAATTTGCGTTGTGACTTGCAGAGAGAAAGCAGGATGGAACGAAGCTTGTTATACTAGTGACGAATAGGGTCACAAGTTGAATTGAAATGAATAGCTCACGTGCGAAACACTCACGTGCGTGCATATAGAGGGTACTTGTGAAAGTTGAAAGACACCCCGGATACAGTCACTCCTGATGCAGTCACCCCCGGCATAGTCACACTCAGGTCGCTCCTCATGCCGGCTCGCCTCAGCCACACAGCCTCCAGCTCCTCCACCGACATGGATGCCACGTCAACAGCCATGCTCGCTCAGCGGATAAGGACAGCAGACTGCCACGTGTCAGCAGGCTGCAGGAAACGGAGACTGACGGAACCAACTGCACAACCCCTTGAGTCCCCTGATTCCTCTTCCAACAGAACAGAGGGTGAGGGGCAGTAGAAGCAGGAAGTCTCAGCCAAACTTCCTTTTACATTCAAAGCAAAGCAATCCCGCTCTCTTATGATATCATTATGATTCTACACGTCTGTTTTGCAGCAGAAGCGCTGAGCCAGAAAGCGCGGCTCGTCGACACGGAGGAGCAGCAGAGCTGCTGGCTGAACGGCGGCACAGCAGAATCTCCTGACCCCACCGAGCCGCTGTTCCTGCTCGCATCCTGACAGAAAGACTCTTTGATTTGCGCCTTGAGGTGAACGACGTCTTAACGGGGAGCTGATGCGTTCGAGGAGACGAATGTGATCCAATCTGGTAACCAGAACTGAAGTCTTCGCGGAGCACTGAAATGACACGAAGACCGCTTGGTTTAGATTCCTTCGTCGCGTGCGAAGAATGTGTAAGATTCGAGAACGAAGGGACACATTGCTCGCGGCGAATGGTTCTCGAAATCAACGACCCGGCTTTTGTTCGAGGAGCGCTGTTCAGCGAAATACTGTGGTCTGGTAGACGATAGGAATTCAGTCGGACTCGATGCAAGCGGTGCTTTCGAGGACAGCACTAAACGCGTACAGTAGTATCGATCATTCCTCCCGAAGTTCAACCATTGGTCGTCTATGTGCGAATGCGAAGATTAAAAAATATAAAAAACGGACTCCCCTGGCTGCGCCTGTGCGACGAACATCGTTTGCTGCGACGGTCTGCGAGAATCGACATTTCCAGGACTCAGTGGCAGCCTGTTGCGATGAGCTAGCGACAGCGGCGAGGAGATCGAGGGAAGTGAAGACACCAAGGATCACGCAAAACCGCCATGACAGTTGAATCGCTTCTTGCAGAGGCTGATGAGGTCGGTACGGTACTGTAGTACTTGTATTGTGCGAGCCGCCATGACTGATCAAATCAATAGAGAGTTTTGCTCAATTCCGCGGAGTCGCGGTTCGTTTTATTATCGCCACGTGGCATGCCTTCGTTCGCGTGAGCCGCGATCTGTTTTATTGTTATCACAGACTTCTAGAGAAATTTAGTTAAGTTCTGTACAGCGCTGCCCGCGGGCAAAAATAAAACCCATTCGGGCCTGGCATGTGTTAGGGAGGCATCAACCCTAAACACCTTGCCTCCAGGTGTTTAGGGTTGATGCATCCCTAACTCATGCCTTACCCTTAGGGGTTTTATTTTTGCCCGCGGGCAGCGCAGTACAGAACTTAACTTAATTTCTCTAGAAGTCTGTGATAACAATAAAACAGATCGCGGTTCACGCGATCATAGGCTCGCCACGTGGCAAAAATAAATCAAACCGCGCTTCCGTGGATTTGAGCAAAATTCTCAAATCAATACTACTGATGGCCGACCCGCCTTTGATGTATGTCAGAGGCATGAGGGAATGACGAAGCGCCGTGCTTTCTCGTCTTCAATTCCGACGGGCAGTGGTTTTTACAGGCCTCCTGCCACGCGATCGCGCCCGATTCCCGTGGTCAGTTTTCGCCATCAATAGTCATTTTGTAGGTTTTTACGAGTTTTTAGATCACAGACGGTTTCTGCCCCAGGCGAGAAATACAACTGACTTCCCAAAATAATCATTATGCCACCCAGGAAACACGTTCGGAACAGTGCGAACAATAATTTCGCGCTGATATTTTCCCTCAACCGCGGAAGTACAGGACTTGTTTGACGGGCGCGCAGTTTTCCCGCCACTAACGCTTTCTGGAATATATATTGCACTGCCTGCGTCAGCAGGCAGTGCAATTAGTCAGCGGGCAAGGAAAAAAATAAAACCCACTCGGAAGGCATGCCATTCGGGAGGCATCAACCCTAAAATTTTAGGGTTGAGGCTCCCGAATGGCATGTAGTCCGAATGGGTTTTAGTTTTTTTCTGTCCGTGGTCAGCATGCTGACTCACTCGGTAGCGTCGTCTAGCGAAATGGTAGCGCTACCGAGCGCTACCGACGCTACCAAGTGCAATATATTGTGTGGCCCGTAACATGAATAGCTGTGTTTTACAGCGCACCAATAAAGACAAAGTCGTAATGATTGTGTGCAACATTTACGAGATGTTTGGACCTGCCCACGAAAACCAAGAAAGTGTACAGAATTCGGTGTTGATGGCGAAAACTGACCACGGGAATCGGGCGCGATCGCGTGGCAGGAGGACTGTAAAAACCACTGCCCGTCGGAATTGAAGACGAGAAAGCACGGCGCTTCGTCATTCCCTCCAGAGGCATGCTGGTGTTCAATCCAGGATTCCGTCCCTTGGGTTCGGTACGGTGGTATTGCGATCCAAAGCGGCGAAGAGCGAACCACCTGACAATGAGACTGGACTGAACCGAAGTCCAGTAATTTGCAATATTTGCACAAGAGCGCCATATGAGTTGATTTACAGATAGGCGGGTAGCGGTTCAAAACGGTGAGTGCATTACATCCAGCTTCAACGTCTCCCACCGAAAAAAACCGCTTGAAGTGTATATCATCCCCCACTGTCTGGTTGGTAGCCCCATCATGACTGGTTTGGTTGCAAAAGCTTGCTGCCGCTTTGGAAACTCTTCAACTGTTCTGTGTTGCTACTCGACGGCTCTTAACCGTGAACCACCTTACTCACTGATTCGGGATGGGTACAAATTTTTAGTGGGTTGGTTCGCGCACTGGGAAGGCCCCACACCCAAACATTTATCCTTGATAGCAGGATCTCCTGCTAAAGAGCGTAACACTTGGCCCTATCTCCTCTAACAGTCTGATTGGTAGAGCATACGAGTATGAACAAATAAGCTAGAACTGTAGTTGTTATTCCGACACCACGGCCTGAATGGCAAAACCCTTCTGATATGTCAAAGCACCAAAATTGTCCAGGGAATTCAGGAGTCAGTAAATCTCCAGCCAGCTGTGGGGCTGAGGTTATGCCTAAAAAACCAGTCATCTTAACCCTTCGATTCTATGTTCCGTAGTACTATCTACATATACTACATGAATAACAAAAATTTGTACCCCTTTTCTGTATGTTATGCTACTTCCGCTACTCCCAGTCCAATGGTCCTTCCTGGAATGCTGCTACTCTTTGCAGCTCCACCATGCATACACCTCACACTCTCCACCATCCGTACTCCGTCCATCCATGCTCCCTCCACCATCCATGCCCCCCCCACCATCCATGCTCCCTCCACCATTCATACCCCTTCCACCATCCATTCTCCTTTTCTAAAGCCAATCCACTTATTGTGAGCATTCTGCTGCCAAAAAGTCAGCTTTAGGGAGGTTTCGCCTCCATTGTGTCTTCCCTCCCCCACCCCCCCCCCCAACCAACATTCGTTCCGCTATCCTGTCCCCTCTCCCATCAGCTCTGCTCTGCTGTTTCCGTGCGCTCCTAGTTGCACTCCTGCGACCCCCAACTCGTCCGCGGCTGCTGCTGGCACTGTTCAGCCCCCCCCCCTCCCCAATCCCCCCTCCCCCACCTGTTATCTCCACTCCGCTGTTTCCGCGTGCTTGCAGCTGCACTCCTGCGACCCCAATTCGTTCGCTGCTGTTGCTGCTGGCACTGTTCAGCCTCACCCCGACCGCTCCAATTATCTCTGCTCTGCTGTTTCCGCGAGCATGCAGCTGCACCCCTGTAAATCCCAATTCAACTGCTGCTGCTGCTGCTGCTGCTGCTGCTGCTGCTGCTGCTGCTGCTGCTGCTTCTGAGTCGACTCAGTTTGAGTCGACTAGAAATCCAAAAACGTTGCTGGTTCCACTCTCGTCTAACAGCACTGCTGCCTCTAACAGCGACTCCCAATTCGTCCGCTGCTGCTGCTGGCGTTACTCCGCTTCCCCCACCCGGCGGCCCCCCATCCCCTCCGCTGCTCTGCTTCCCCACGCGTCTAACGCGTCCCCACGGCTCCCATTGCAACGGGGGGAGAGGGGGTGCGGAGAATGCGGGTAGTAGCGGCGTCTGGCGCAAAAAACTATTTTGAGTCGACCCTCTAGTCACTTCCAGTTGAAGCGGGTAGTGGCGGCGTTTGGGGGGGGGAACCACGCGGCGGGCAGGGCATTCAATTTTAACGGGATGACGGGGGGCATTGGGGGCGATGGGGAGACGGGGTGGGGGGAATGATGGGGCGATTATGAATGGCTTTCGATTTGCGGCTCTGGCGGGGCAGCGGAGGTCTCGGCGGCAGATGAGGGACAGGTGAACACGCAAAGAGGGGGTGACGGCGGGCCTTCGGAGTTGCCCTCTTGAGTCACCTCTAAGAATAGTGGAGATTCCGAAATTTCTGAAAATATTTTAAGAAATCGGGGAGTGCTGAGGCGCCTCAAGAGGGCCTTAGGAGTCGTTTTCTCGAGTGGGACTGGTGGGGATGGTGGGACTGGTGGGGATGGTGGGTGGGAGTAATGGAGGCGGCTTGCGCGTCGTTGTCCGCCCGCGCGTCGTTGTCTTGGGCGGGGGCTGCAGCGGGGCTGCGGAGGTCGCGGCGGCAGATGGGGCAGGCTCCGGTTTCGGAGCCGAGGGGATGACGAGGGCGTTGAGGGAAACAGGGCCTTAGGATTCGTTCCCTTGAGTGAGTACGGTGGGGACGGTGGGGGTGGCGGGGGCTGCAGCGGGGCTGCGGAGGTCTTGGCGGCAGATGGGGCAGGTGGTTTTGGCGGCGAGCCAGAGGTCGATGCAGTCGGCGTGGAAGCCGTGTGCGCACGCCGGCACCACCTTGATGCGCTCGCCCGCCGCGTACTCGCCCAGGCACACCGCGCACTCCCGCGTGAGCCTCTCCGCGCGCCCAGGCCCGCGCGGAAGGCTGTCGCACGGACTTGGGCCAATCGTTGATGCGGTGTTTGACGCGCTCAGCGGCGCGACGCCATCATCATCGCGAAGATTCGCAGAGTCGCTGGCGACGATAATCGCTACGTGGTCTCC